ACAACGTTTATTACTTATTACAAAGTTTTGCTCCTTTTTATCATTTTATTGTGCAATATTCATTGCTTATCAATGCTGAGACTTGTATGGTTTCCGTCATTAATGAAAATACCACTATCACCAAAAAATGAGCTCAAGCTCTCGGAATTCGTCGTTATATTTTTAATAAATGATATAATTGCAGCGAAAAAAGTGATTTCATTATTATCAAACCAATGACCGGTTTCTTTATTTCATATTTCGGCAATAAAATTTTAATTTTTTCCATTAATGTATTAAAGATGCCAAAAATGCTAAAATAAATCGGGTTCCTTTTGTCTGCTTCTGATAAAATCATAAACTGTTTCTTGTCTTGATCACAACAAATCTAATATCGAAAATGTTATGAAAAAAACCCATTTGATTTCACTGCTTGCACGTTTGTGTGGCGATGCGCATTTAAATATTGAGAAGGTCACGTACACGATTAAGCACTAAAACAAAAGCGAAACATTTGTTCATTTAGAATCCATTAAAAAAACACGCCGATTGACATTTACGACGCGCCGTGTTGCATTGCTGCTCAATTAGATGAGGAAGTTGTCATCATTATTATATTGTATTGTTTTTTTTTTTTAAATATTCACCATGAACACGTAAACATTTCAGTTTATTTCCGAGCGCGTTCAACTTAAAGTAACATTAGCACACGGGCGCGATTATTTTACATGATTCATGTACGATTTGGATTGAAGAGCAAACATTACAGTATTATTATTGTATACAAACGAGTAAATATGAATTTTTTTTTTATCATTTCTGTCATCGTTTTCAATATTTTTCATTGAACAATTTTCGGTTTTTCCCACTTTACATTGTGATGCGGCTATGTTTACTATTTGTATCAACAGGTTAAACTATGTACGCTTTTTTGATGGACAAATATTTGATGCGTGTATGCAAACAATGGTTTGACCCACTACGAATTTTGGCGCACGAAGATGAATGAAATTTATACACGAACACACACACAAAATTATTTTTTCCATAACATTGAAATTGAAAGATCAACAGTTCCTACACATTATTTGCTTTCGTTCAGTGAACGAGACCGAATGAAAAAATGAAAACAACAAAATTCACTAATTATATTACAATCAATTTGTACATCGAGTTGTTCTCCGAAATCTATTTCAATTCTATGAATCGATTGTTTGTTTGAAAATCGATTGCAAGGTCTCAAGATCGTCTTTAACGTATTTGTGATCGCTTGGCCTTGGAACTCTTCAAGAGAAAAATGATTGAATTTAGTGGTAGTGAGAAAAAGCAAAAACAATGACAGTTGCAGAAAGAAAGTAGAAAAATGCATTGAATTCAAGTGTTTTTCTTGTGATTCTCATTAGGTCAAGTATTCCATGATAGCAATCACTTTTTTTATCCAAAATATACGAGCACGCACTATCAGCACTGCGTTATGGTTATATTTTGTAATAAAAACGTCTTGCGATAACTGTCATCCTTGTACTGAATTTTATGCTTACACTAACAATTGTGATAACTGTGAAATTCTAGAGCGTATGCAATAAATTATTTTGAATCGAAAAAAGACGAGAGGAAAAGGAAATAGTATATACGATATACATAAATGTAAATAATACAATACAATTAAACACAAAGCGTTCGCGTTTGGTTGTCGCGTGAATATCAATAAAATAAATTCACGTTGCGCATAGACGGAGCGTTTAGTGTTGAATTAGTTGACAAACTGTACACATCTACTCTTTCATTCGTTTATAAATTGCGTGACTCAATAGCAACCAGTGGCCATCACAATGAATTCAAAAACAGTGTTGATCGTCGGTTGTTTCGTTTTATTGTTGAGCGATCAAGTTATTGGTACAGATGAAAATTTACCAAAATTATACGAAGAAATCGGTTGCACAAAAATTAACAACTCTAATCCAACAAGGTGAGCTGCTTTTGTGTATCGCAATGCTAATGAACCGTTTTTTTTTCATAAAGAAGTTAAGAGACATCAAATATAATTAATTTTTTTTTTCATTATAATTTCATTTATTTGTTTTAATCCAAAGTTTTGAGTGTCCAGATCTTACGACCTATTCAACGGATAAGTGCTATTTAAAGGGAAAAACGTTTAATGTAAATGACGACATTGATGAAAGTGTTGTGCCTAATTGTAGAGCGGCTTGCAAATGTGTTCAAAATGGTAATGAAACTGCTTACATTAATTGCGCCAATGTTGAATGCCCAGAAGATTTGGGCGGCCGAGACTGGTCTTGCGTATCGCAATATGATAATTTGACACAATGTTGTCGTAGTCGTGAAGTTTGCGGTGAGAAATGTTTTATTTTTGTTTGAATTCACTTTTTTTTTTAAATTGTCATAAATTTATTCATTTTTATCTTCGTTTTTTTAAAGATAAAGCCAAAATCGGCGCAATTCACAAGTGCGAATTTGGAGGAAAATCATACCACATTGGTGAACGCATTTATCCAGATGATTTATGCTATGAATGCCTTTGTGCCGAAGACTTTAACAGCAAAACTCCAATTGCCGACAATCCACATTGCGCCAAAATTGATTGTGGCATTGAGCTTAAACTTAAACAATTACAAGAGGGATGCATTCCGGTTTACTATAAAACACCCACATGCTGTCCAATTGAATACAAGTGTCGTACGTATTTTTCAATATCAGTGCCAAAATATCTTGACTGACTATGCACACAAAAAACACCTAACCTCAATGTGAGACGATTTGACATGAAATTCAGTTTATCCGAAGTCTCATTTATTTTTGGATACATTTTAGTAAACAATTTTTTTTTTCAATATTTTTGTGCATTATACGGAGTCTCCGAGAGTTTCATATAAGCATGCCATGTAGTAGCAGAAAAGACAGTTGAAAATACGGAAAAAAATTGACTAAAATCTTCTGAACTTCACTCAGTGGCTCAGCCTTTTTGGCCTCAAATTGAGCGAATAGCTAGTCAGTCAAGATACTTTCTTTTCATCTTAAAGATTTTACAGAAAATAAATCTCGATTTTATTTCTAAACAGCCTCAAAAGACGATGCCATCGAAAGTTCAGCTGCCGATGAAAAGTCAACCTGTAAATTTGGTGATCTTACATTGAAGCATGGCGAAAAAATTAAAACTGAAGACAAATGCTTGAAATGCGAATGCAAAACACCACCATACATTACATGCATCAAAACAGATAGTTGTTAATTTTTTCCATAGTCAATTTACTTAAACTACTAAATATATTAGAAAAAAAGTATTAAAAAATGTTTGCAAACTTTACCGCACATTTATTTCTTAGCTTATTTACAAAACAAAAAAAACTTCATAATACTAAAAAAACGCATTTATTAAATTTCAAGTTTTATTGGCGGAGCTTAAGACTAAATGAATACAATTGGTTGTCGATGCAGACATCGAAAAAAAATATTTTTTTGGCAAACATTTATTATTCCATTGATTTTTTCGTGTAATTTCTACGTAGATTTGGTAGTAAAACCCTAACCACGTCTCTTCGTGGTCCACGAATCGTGGATGCCTAATATTTGCCAATCTTTATGTAAAACCCAAACCCATTTTCTTGGGTTCTTAATATTTGCCAATCTTTACGTAAAATTGTCTTTAGTCGATTCACCGTAAATATTGAGCCGGCTTTTAAAGTGAACGATTTCAATGAGTTGAATTTAGATAAAAAACAGTTGACATGTTCAATGGGGAAATTATAATATTGTCCAAAGTCTATTACTTTTATCAATGGCAATACTTCTGGAATTTTCAGCATCAGCTTCATATCAAAATGTTCACCTTCATTTACATGTGTTCTGCCAAGAATCAATTCGGTAATACTTGAATTTCTTGAGAGAAAATCGATAAATTCGGAATTCAAATGACAAGATGTTTTCAAATAAAATACTTCTAGTTGTTCACATGACAACGGAATTGACGGTAGATTTTTTCTTGAGCCGTAAGTTTCAAATGTAATATTTTTCGTACTCAGATGAATAATATCATTTTTGTAATCATCACTTAATTGAACATGATCCATGTAATAGAAAAAGATTCTCAAACTGTTAAGTTGTTTTAATTGTTGACCAATAGCTTTGAGAATAAAACCATCAACATTGAAACTTATGTCTAAACTCTGTATTTGTGGATTCATACGTAAAAAAGTTGCAATTGAATTCTTTCCACTTCTTCTAACTTTTTCATAATTCATTTTAATTTCCAGCCTTGTCAACTGAGGGAATTGAGGTATGATACAACCAGGGCTTATCAAATGTTCAGGATACACTTTCAAATTAGTCAACATCGGAAACAAGCGAACAAACTCTTTCAATTCGACATTCTCATCGCTGCTTAGTTTAATGGTTTTTACTTTTGGAAATGTTTTTTTTGCCGTAATCATTTTGAAATCTTTCTTCGAGATAACTCCAAACTTCAGCTTGGTCACTGATTCTGTTGACAAATATTTGTGAATGTATCGATTCATTTCTTTCTGTCGCTTTGCAGACTCGCTTATGTCAACCTCATCATAAAATATTGAACCATGGTCATAGTGTACACCAAAATCAGTAATTAAATGTCCAAAACAGCGAAGTGACCGGAGCGATATTATCATATTTAAAATAGATATCTTACCATCTGGAAAAAAATAAAGAGGATCATCATATTCATCGCGTGGTGTAAAAACTTCCAAATCAGCAATTTTGAAACGTAATTTCCCATAATTTTGCGAAAATGTCAAATCAATAGCTGGTTTTAGTTTCTTATTTGCATTGGCAAGACTCAAAAGATCATGGAACTCCAAATATTTGAAAATATTTTCGAGGCAATCAATATTCAAATTGATGAGTCTCATTTTATTATCATTATTTGTTGTGTCTTCATTGTTAATTCTCCGACGCTTGGGATGCTGTTCATTTCGGTGTTGAACCCTTTTATTTGACATTTTTTCAATATTCGAACCTCCCTTTTTTGGTAACCTATCAAAAATTTTAAATAAAATTTAAATTAAATATCTTCAAAATGTTATCATCTCAAAAAGTTAAGTTAATAATTTACCTTGTTTTGTTTTTCTTCGATCGTGTCTTCATTTTTTTTAGAGATGTTTTACTTTCAAATGATTTCGAAAATGGTAAATGAAAAAGCTGTTGATGAATCTTTCACGCTTGAAACACAACTGACTGACTCGTATTGAATCGACTTGTTCGTATACGTATTTTTGTTTTCACAAAATGACCTGAAATAACACTACGAAACCGAAAAATTCCCGAAACCGAAAGACAAAATGTCATTAAAATTGAGTCCAGGTGTCATTCACTAATAAGTTTCTGTTAGAAGGTAGTTATGTTTGCTATCAAAAAGAATTATTCACGGGAAATTGTAATGAACCCTTTGTCAACTATTCGGGTCATAAAAAACTTAAACAATAATCTTTCTATTTATTTTTTTGTTTTGCTAAAAAAAAATTGCCCAGTTTGTGCTTGAGATCTTAGAAATGTGGGACAGAAATATAATTCTTATTCAAGTTTTAAAAAAAGAAAGTAATTTATATAGAAAATATGCTTTTGTTTTGTAAAGCCAACTCGCCTATCACCATTGTCAATAGATTTAATTTTCATTTACCAAATATAACAACATTTCGGTTTCGAAACACGGTATAAATGTGTGTTGGTAAAATATTCAGTTTGTTGAACTAAAGACAATATATGTATGAAAATGTATTGGATATTTAAGTGATGCATTTTTCTTTTCATCGTTATTACAATAGATTCGAAAGTGAAGTTGATTTTTTTTAATTTATTTTTTCTGTCGATGAAATAACGAATAGCCAAGAAACTGTAAACTGCCAAAACATAACGATATCCAGCTACAACTAAAGCGTTTGCTGTACATCGTTCGATATTTTCGATTTTCTTCTTGCATTATTTTGCATTATATTTCTTAATGATTCATTTGAAGTTTATGCTTGAAGACACGCATTATTGTTTTGATGTACACGTGATCGATGGACTCTCACAAATGCTCAGAAAATGAAGACAAAGTATTGAATTGAGTAAAATGATTTGAAGGAAACCTAGATCTCTAGTAAATATATTTCTATAAATCATTACTGATGATGATTCATTAGGGAAACAATTGAAGCATAAGCAACACACTCAGATGTTGATGAACTCCATCTGAAATATGGATGCGAAATTTTACCCAAATCATTTTGAAAACATTTCTTTCTTCGTGATTCCGAACGGTTTCAAGTGAAAAATCTTTGGAAAAATGACAACGCAATAAATGTGCCATTTTTTCATGATTTTATTTTTCAATCGTTTAAAATTACATTAAAATTGAATATTTAGAGAGCATAAAAATAAAGTTGGTCAATGGTATCGATAAAATGCATAAAAAGGTACGATAACAAAAAGAAACGAAGGGTTACAACCTTTGAACATTTTCAAAGTCGTGTAAAACAATTCGGTAAAATCGATTTGAACTTGAGTTTGAAAAACTTTTACTTGGTCATTTTTTGAATGCGCAAAATTTGTGCAAAACATGATGCGCCATTGAATGAGTATACCAATGCGTTATAGATACTTGAATTGTATTGCCGAAAAATCTGGATGACATTATTCGCAAATTTACAAGAAAAACCAAATGACATTATTCGTGTACAACTGTTGGTTGGTTACATTATGACAAACTAGTCTAGATAGTCTGTGAAGCGAATAAATAATAAAAATGTGTGCTTTGTGAAAAGATCGTTTATCCAAATTGTAACAAAATCAATATGCTTGAAATGTGGCATTTGCCAGGTGAATAGAAAAAAAAGAGCCAAGCATTAAACGCTTTGACAATGACACATAAATCGCAATTGTTCACGGTATTGCTTGTGTGTAACAATTTTTCTTTTGCTGCATGCTTTCATATATTTTTTTTTGTTTATTTCCACTGATTTATTAGTTGGCTTGTAAATATGGTAGTTGTACATTTTAAATCAAGATACTAACAGGAAAAGCGTCATGATTTGTATCTTTTGTGTCAAAATGAAGTATTAACATTCGCAAATACGATAAAATCGATGGTGAAAATTGATGATGTGATTTATCTATTGGAAATCCCCAGCATGCTCACGCACGCACTCACATTCACAATTAGCTATAGAACTGGCACACAAATAGATCAAAATAGCAACAACAAATGATTCGTCATACGATGGGCAAGCACACATTATGAAATATGGTTAATTCACTTAATGATTTAATGATTAAATAACTTTGTTCATTGAACGGCTTTTATACGATTAGGTTTTTGCTCTGTTTTCATACTCATTTTTTTTTTCGCTTTCTATCGCACGCGCTGTACAAATTAAATGTGTACGATGCATATGAATCAATTACCTTTTTTTTCTATTCACAGAATAAATGAGATGAGCAAACCATTGAGATTTTGCAATAGATTTTCAAATTGGGCACATTAATTTTTCATTCGAATTGTTTAGTTTTTTTTATCAGTTTTCTTCTGTAATCATTCACACGATCTCTGTACAAATCGAAGTGTTAAATTGTGCCAAACGGATATGAAAGCTTAGTTTGCGCTTAGAACTTCAACTGATCAGAACAGAACACATCGACTTCAAAAAATTTGCACTCGCAATTGTTGGTTGAATTAAATTGAAAATAAGTGGATCTTATATTTCCAGTGATCGAAAACAAAAATTCATCAATTTAAAAACATCTTTTAAACTGGTTTCGGTGTAAATATTGTCTCTTTCATACGTCGCAATTGTACGCGTTTGTTTATTTACCTGACGATATTAATATATTCGAACAAATCGAATTGCTTGTGATGTGAGTATTAAGTGAACATATCGAATGACGAACATTTCATTTTGATTGAAAGAATTTTATTGATTGATGTAAAATTTTGAATTACAGAAAATGCTTCGATTCATAAATGTACTCCTGCTTTCATTGTTATCAAATGGCTGGTTGCCAATAGTTAATGCGCAAATGGTTTTTCCCGAACCGGTAATGGCGAATGGTTCGCAACGTATGTCATCGACATTTCTTCTTTAAAACATTCAAGTATTGGCTCGTTTTCGTTTATTCTTATGTGTGATATTGGTGCTTTTTTCGACTCTAGTTTCACGTTCTGGATTTCCATTGCTGTCGGCATTTCCAATCTACAATCCATTTCAAGCTGTAGTTCCAGGCCAATTGGTTACACCACCAACATATGCAGGTGCCGTGCAAACGTGTATTTGTGTACCGACAGGACAATGTACTGGAACAATCGTGCCATCAACACCAGTCGATGGATCCGGCCTTATTGATATTCGAATCGTGAATAATGTAAAAATAATTGATTTGAATATTTTTTCATCAAGACATTGAAGTTGCATTATTTTTCTTTTTTTGGTAGCCCACGCCAAGTCCAGCTGTTCCAACGGCACCATGTTATGCTGGTTTGCAACGTTGTTGTTTTTCCGGGCCCTATCGGTGTGGCGTAAGATATCCGCCGGTAGCTGGTAGTCCAGCGGCTGGACCAGGCCAGGCACAATACGGCAAATATCCGTGGCAAGCAGTTTTGCTCGGCACTGGCGACGTTTATCAAGGTTCAGGTGTTCTAATTGATGCACTCAACGTTCTTACTGTGGCTCATAAAGTTGCCAATTATTCGTGAGTACATGTTTTTTTTCGATTTTAAACATGAACAATTTCTTCGTATTACAAAATTATGGAACGAAGGAAAGAACAAACAAAGAAAAAGCGAAATTTATTCGATGGTTTATAAAATTTTAGAGCGGTTCCAAATCAATTGCGTGTACGAATGGGTGAATGGAATGCGGCCGGCGATACTGAACCATTGCCAGCTCAAGAATTTGTGGTGTCCAAAATATTTGTTCATCCCAGTTTCAATCCAACGAATTTGATGAACGATGTAGCCATCTTACGACTCACCGTTGCAGTTCCATTGGGTCAATTGCCCACAATTACAACAGCTTGCTTACCTATTTCATCATATGTTGGCACACGGTGAGCTAAAATTTAATTGAAATTATTTTTTTTTTTTCCTTTTAAATAATAAATCATTTTGGGAAACGACGCATTTTCAGATGTTGGGTCAGTGGTTGGGGTAAAAATGATTTTAACGGCGTCTATCAAACCATTCAAAAAGAAGTTGACGTTCCGATTTTGGATGCAGCAAAGTGTCAAAGTGCATTAGCAGCAACGCGATTAGGAAGCGCATTTGTTTTTGATGGAAATAGTTTTATTTGTGCCGGCGGTGAACAAGGGAAAGATGCTTGTACTGTAAATATAAACGCCTCGAGTTATGTATGAATGATTTTATTTTATTAAGTAATATGACATTTTTTTTAATGACAGGGCGATGGTGGTTCTCCTTTGGTATGCGAATTAAATGGGCAAAATTTTGTGGCTGGTTTATCTGCATGGGGTATCGGTTGTGCCACGTCAAACGTACCAGGCGTCTATGTCAATATCAAGACATATACACCATTCATTCAGTCCAGCATTCAGTCTTCATAAGCTTCATTTAAACTGTTTCACACCACTTCTACCATTTGATGAACAATAATCGTTTTTTGCCTTTTAAAAATTGTTTTATTTGTAATAAATATATAAAATAAATACGAAACAAAGAAATAACAATTAAAATTTAAATTTAAAATGAATAAATAGAATCGTTGAAGTCGACATCGTTTAGAATTGAAGATTTTTTCTTCGTCGAACGACCGCATTCTCGTCATAATCTTCAACGTCATCATAGCCGCCAGTATCGATTTCAGCATCGGTTCCTGGTTTTACGAAAGCCGAATCCTCTGGCCGAACAATCTTTACACCTTTGTCGCCAATTCGCATGCAATCAAACGATCTATTGCAGAATTTAAAGATGATAAACTTGAACAAATGAAATTTAGATAATAATACAAACATCTTGGCCTACCGATTGAATATTTCCGATTCTTGGACGAATGCTGACATTTCCATGCATACATGCATATTTCGTCCGATAAAATGAAGATCATAGAATGAGGCGCACACTTTAATGAATGAAAAACGTGGCATACGCACACAAACTGGTGGCGGATTACGTCCGGTCACTCGATTCTTGTACAAAACGGCATTGTTCATGATCATTTTGAATTCGAATGAAAAATCATCCGGATGATATGTGATGTTCATGCAACCCAATTGGCGTAGCGCCGAGAATAGCATGCCCGTACAACATCCACACACGCCTTTTTGGCATTCACACGGTCGTCTAAATGCGGATGCTAAAGATGCAAACAGATTAGCGGGCAGACCAACTTGTTTAAGGAGTGCTTGACGTGATTGTGCTGACATATTTAGTTCATCGTAGTGCTCATTATTACCTGTTTGTGTTTATATATACAAATGCGTGAGAGTCGATTTTTTTTTTTTTCGTTCTTTTTTTACTTATTTCATTTTTTTTTTTTTTTTTCATTTTCGTTCAGTCAACGTATTGTTATTAAATTAGCACCGTTAAGCGAAGCGATAAAAATGAATGTGTTTAGTAATTTATGCAATCAATATGTGATCGCCGAAATGCATGAAAGAGAAATGGCAAATACAAATTGAAAAAAAAAGACTATCAGTTTCTATGCATTTAATGCTAGTGTGTTATGTTTCTTTTAATGGTTAGCTTATGAATAGAAATTATGACATTTTTGGGTGTCATCGATGAATAAACAAATAGGCGCGTGCGCGCACAACTCTATTGAAACCAAGTGATAATATGAATATAGAGGCAAAATAAAGAGATGAAGAAAAGTGAAACCTGGTGCATTTGTTGTATTTTGTTGGGCTTTTTCAATGAGCTCCGTTAAATCGATATCTTCATCGGTAATCGCAAAGTAAGTTGTCGTTTCTTCCGGTTCAGCCGTTGAATTTGAGAATGGTGTTATCTTTAAAATGGTCTACACACATATATGAATTATTATTTATATTTTTTTTTTCGGTTTTAATGAATTTTGAACACATTTTTGTTTTTGGTTGTTCGACGTTTGAAATGTATGAAAAACTCACTTCGTAATGGCTATCGGTGGTATTTTGACTGGATATCAATGTTGGATCCACGAGAATGGCTGGCGTTCCAATGGTCGATTCAATGTTTGTCGCAGCAACAGTTGTATTCAAAACAATTGGATCACCACCTACAACTCCCAAACCGAAAGTAAACACGAATAAAGCGCACAAAAACATGATTTGATATCTTGAAATATATTATTGCATACGCGCGCAATCAAACAAAATTGAATTTTTCTTTTCTTTTATTATTCAATATAAAATCCACACATAATTTCGTTTTCTTTGCCCGAAAAATAGTTCGCTTTTAAACCGTATCACACCTAACAGCAACGAAAACCACAATTTTCGAACGATACAAATAGCAAGACACAAGTTAACACAGTTGTGACTTGAACGATTGCTTTACCAAAACTGTGACGGCTTGCGCTCATCGTCTCGCGATCTCCACAGATTTTTTGACGATGATGAAGCAGAAGAAAGTGATCAGCTGTTCACTGCTACAGAAATTCGGTGAACGAGTTATGAGCGCGCGATATATCGACACCAAACCACAAATCTACGCACGACAATTAGCGAGAGTGAGAAATAAAATCAAACCAAGCCACACAGCAAATGAAAACAATTGTGCAGCCGATTACCGATTGCTACCGTTGCCACTTCTAGTGTTGCTGCTACTGCTGCTTTTTTTGTATTTGAAATGTTTATGTCTCTGAATTTCGTCACTTGAATAAAAATTTCTCTACTGACTTGGTCGATTTTTCAACATTGTTTGGCATTAATGCTCGCGTTGTTGTTGTATATGCTTTTTGTTGTTATGGCGGTGATGTCGTTTTTTTTTTCGTGTATTTTTTGAATCTCATAAAATCAAATGGAGAAAAAGTATTTGTATCTTTTGTATGTGTGTCTCTCTGTGTGTAGAAACAATGAATAAATCGTGCATGAGTGCGAGCACATGTGAACGAAAATGCATTTGCTATCGACAAAACAACACCGGAGGTATTGTTTTGACGTGTTTTCACATAGCGCGCGTGTTTGAAAATGCGCCTTTGGCTCGTTCGCGATGAAAAGAGATACCCAAAAGCCGACGAGAAAAAATTACCATTTCAAATTGTTGTTTTTTTAAAGAGCTGAAGAACATTTCCATTTGCCGTCATTTCTATTCACGCATTTTTGCAGCCCATTGCGAGCTTAAAGAAGCTACAACAGATATAACTTAAACCTTGCTCGATTAGCTCAAGCGAAACCACTTAAATACATGATCTTAACCTTATGACTAATGATAGAAATTGCTTGCGTATTTTTTAATTTCTTGTACATACACACACACATACACGTATTCATATATTCATTCATTGCAGCGGGAGTACAATTGAAATTGGTACGGTATAGGCTTAAGCGTAACATTTTTTTTATTTTCGTATCTCATATTCGCACTGCAACAATAATGGTGTTGAAAAAAAAAGTGAGAATAATGAACAAAAATGCAGAAGAAGGTGCTTTTATAAATAGCTATTTGCCGGAGAAATTATTGTTTTACTCGGTTTTACTTAACGTTTGTTTTTTTTCTCTCTCTCCTTTGTTTCACATCAGAAAGAAATGCCAGCGAAGAATGTTTCCAAAATTTCAACGTTTTTTTCTGCATCGCGGAAAAATGTAATACCAACGAAAACAAACTTAATTATTTATTCGATGTAAGTTATAGTCTAAAAGCCGAATGAAAACAAACAAACAAATTAGACAGTCCCGGAATAATAATGCTCAAAAGTATCTTAATTTGCTACACAATTATGTGTACAAAAGCGAAATTAATCCGGAAAACAGATCGTTTTTTTTGTCTGCTTCTTCTTTCGTTTGCCTCTCGCATCTTTTCTTGCATAGTGACCATGCAAAATTGGAAATTGGCTTTTCGAAATTTGGCACTTTTCTTACTCGGAAGCAAATTATTCAATAGAGTTGAATGTGACTGTTGACTTGTTGAGTCCGAAAATAAAAACGCAATAAAAAATTATATATCGTTTTTTTTTCTCGCTACTTTCACTTTCTTCACCAAAAACTAGCGACACGAGATCACACGCCCAATGAAGAAAGAAGAGAAAAAAAACACAACACGAACGAAAAGATGAAGTACGGTGCTAAAACGGAACGAAAGGAAAAAGATATATTTATAAAAATCAAAGCAAATATAAAGAAAAATAAATAAATGGAAATGAAAAATCATGTAGTGCAATTGCGGTACGCCGTTTTTGGAGTAATGATGTTAAAATGTAACACGATAAACGCCACACGTTAGAAAAAATCATTATCGGTTCATTGAATATGAAGCCATACTTAGAGAATTTTTGATCGTATTTTTTACGTTGTCATTTTACCGTTTTCCATATTCTAGGTCTCTCTCTTCCGGTGACAATTAAGTTTAAGTGTTTTTTCCCTCGAATTTCGATCACAAATTTTCGCATAATTATTCTTCCGTTAATTTATTTCTTTTGCCTTCATTCTCTAACTTTTTTTTCGTCAATTCGGACTTCTCGTTATTGAACTGCCGCAAAATTTCTATATATATTAATTCTATAGCTTTGCGAAGAAAGCAAAACAATCTACTAAAATACGTAAGTCGGTCAATAAAACAATTAGAATGGCAATCGAGTCGATTGTCTGTTTGAAAGAAAAATTGAAATCGCGAAATATCCGTTGGCTGAACGATGCAAAATTATCATTGTTTTATTGATGTTCATTTTGTTCCCCATTCAGCTCACGTGATATGCAATGCGTCGGTGGCCTTTGCTCTCCCGCCTTTTATGCTACTCATTTTGAAAAAATAAGTTTCTCATTAAAATCATTGGTATCAAATCGAATTGGAAATGTTACATCTTTTTTTGGGAAAAAAACCGAAAAAATGATCCATTTCTTTTTATAGTTGTGGGTTCGATATTGTTTTTCGTCACAAAAAAACGTAAATAATATGTGTCACGACATGCATCCCAGTCTGAGCGTATCGTTTGATAGCCGTATTATTGAATGAATTTTGCATCACTGTACTTGGCAGTCATATGACTCAAGAGTCATATGATTACAATTTTAATCAACTTAATCATTTTTTTCTATTTGGCCATGCTTTGCGCACTTTTCGTGAATCAGTTCTAGATTCAGTCTCAACAGAGATTTACAACTTTGTATTGAGTTGTAATACATAAAAAGCAAGGCTTTAAAAGGATTGAAATTTTAAAAAGCAAACATCGACAATTTCATGAAGCAACATATTGCCTTCTTAGTGAAATAAAACATTGTTAAGATTAAACAACAACGTATATTTACAAGTTGATAATCAATATTCTTCGCATATGCAAGCTGTTACTCTAACAAGACGTTTACATTCACCACAACAATTTAATGAATCGAGAGGAGCATCTGAAGTCATTCATACGAAAAAGCAGCAGTTTTTTTCGACTTAAATAAGGAATTTAGGAGAGATCGACATATCATAGAAGATGCAGAGAAAACCGCTCGAAAGTAAACGATTTAAATCTAGTTGCAGAATTCAATTATTCAGACTGTTTTTTTAGTGTTTAATAGTGTTCATGTTTCTCATAATGTAATAAATAGATTTTTTTGCATTATTTTTCAGTTGTTCCATTGTTAAAAGAAGATCGTTTGGGCGTTGATTATGATTCTACATTAACAATACCAGCTGCCGAAATGGTAAATGAATAGCAAAAATTCCCATAAATCGCGAAGATTTTGACGAAATATATTTCAGACGAACAGATGTGAACGAAGTGATTTGCCATATCCAAAAGCGGTGTTCTTTGTGTTATTATCTAAGTTTTTTGAAGCGTTTGCCGCAAATGGTGTAAGAAGTATGTAGTTTTCCATCAACTAATAATTAAAAATTCTAAACTCTTTTCAATTCACATTTCACACAGCCATACTCGGGATGTATTTAAGTGATTCGCTTGGCTTAAGTCAGGATTCATCCACAACATATTTTCATATTTTCAATTTTTTCGGCCAATTTTGTCCGATTTTTGGCGCAATACTAGCCGACAACTACTTGGGCAACGTAAAAACAATATTCTACATGTTCTTTATTTATGCCTTTGGTTGGATTGGTATAATAATATTAACATTACCTTTTTCACATGCATCCGTTCCAATTCTGTAAGCGTTTTTTACTTTCACATTATTTTGACATTAGAATCAATTATCTTTTTCTTTATCTTCAGACCGTTGGTGATTTTTTCGTTGATATTAATCGGAATCGGGAATGGAAGTATGCGAGCTTGTGTCACATCGTTGGGCGGTTCACAGTTTGAGTTGCCTGAACAATCGAAATGTTTAGATCGATACTTTTCTCATTACTATTTTGTTTATACGTTTGGAATATTGTTGTCGAAAGTTATACCGCCAGAAATTCGAAAATATGTTCATTGCTTTGATGAAAAAGAATGTTATACCGCTGTGTTTGGTGCGCTTGCAGTGATTTTTGTGGCCGCTTGGGGTAAATTTGGTTTTTACCGATCTTTTATTTTTCATCAAATAATCACATTTTTTATATTTTTTTACAAAGTCGTCTTTTTGTTGGGAATGTTCATGTATAAAGACGAAAATGTGGCAGCACCAAAAAGTAATATTTTGTTTAAAGTCATTGCTTGCACATGCACTGGCATCAAATACAAGCTAAGAAATATACGAAATCATGACTGGTTTGATGGTTCGATGAAAAACTATTCAGCAAATTTTGTGCAAGATGTGTGCGTCGTTTGGAAGGCAAGTGGATAACGGACCTCATTCAACATTTTGATATTAAAATATCTGGTGATTTTTTTTTTTTGCAGGTGTTAAAACTATTTATACCATTGCCAATGTATTGGGCACTGTACACACAAATCGATTCAAATTGGACATTCCAGTCTGAGAAATTGAATAGAGTGGTCTATGGCTTTTCTATTGAACCAGATCAAGCAAAAGCAGTAGCCCCATTACTGCTTCTACTGTTAATACCGTTCTGGGAGAAGCTCATCGTTCCAGTATTACGACTTAAAATTACACCTTTAGAGAGCATTGCAATGGGAGGCATTAGCGCTGCTCTTTCATTCGCTTGTGCAGCAATTTTGGAATTTTTTATTGAATATCGTACGGCAACACACAGTGATCAACTGTCAATATTCTGGCAATTACCGCAATTTATTTTATTGATGTTTGGCGAAGTGTGGCTCTCAATCCCTGGATTAAATTTTGCATTCATACAATCGCCGCCAAGCATGCGATCCGTCATGACAGCCGCATGGTTCTGCAATAGTAAACTTCTTTTTCTTTAATTTTTTTGTTTATTTTTAAATAAATATAATTTTTTTTTTCAGATGCTTTTGGGAATTTAATTGTGATTGCCATCACCGAATGGCACCCATTCGAATTAGATAGCAATGAATACTTGTTATATGCATACCTCATGATTGGAGCGATTTTTATTTTTTGTTTACTCGCACGAAACTATCGATATACAAATTATGGCGAAAAAGTGAACAGTGATGCAAATCAGAATATTTTGACGCTTCAACGTCAAAATAGCACAACTTCATTTCAAGAAGATTATATTTATTGAGAAAAAAAACTTCCACAAAAATTAAGTCGCATTATTTATTTAACAAAGATTTCATCATAAATAAAGATATGATTTGTGTAATTTATCAACATGTTTTTTTTTTGAAAAGAATCTATGTTGTGTACGATGCACCGGCGTCGAATGACAAGAGCATTACTTTACTCACAGTCACATGACTTATAATCAAATCTACTTTTTTCGGTTTTTTGAAGGCCATTTCTTTCTCTTTTCGCTTTCATCTCTTTCTCTTTTCTTCTTGCTTTGTTTACATCGATCATTCTTAACGATGCTAACGCCAAGCATGTGGTCACTGATATTGTTTTACTTAATGGCACTTTTTCTCAAACACACCGAGGAAAAATGGAAAATGATCTTACAATAAAGCGGTTGAATTTTTTGTTTCGCTATCCTATTGCTGTCGTGACGCACTGTTATTAATCTGTATCACAAACAAAAATAACGAGTCTATTTATTACGCCACCGCTCCCATTGAGATATGGGCATTATCACATCTGATATGGATTTTTTTTATCAGAGACATTTGTGATAGATTAAAAGTTCAGTTTTAAAAACATTAAACTGTAAACAAAACCGAAAATTGTCTATTATATATGCGCTCAACCATCGATTTGGTGCAATGTACATCTAATGTCTAAGTTTTTGGTGTCGAGTTCATACTGCCGTTGTATTTTGCCTGCTAACATTGTCGAAAACAAAATAGATAGTTTCAATAAAACTTATCGCTGACAATCTTACTGCAAACAATATTTTTCTGATGACAAATTGTTATTGTGACGAGCACATTTGAACAAGCGAGCGAGAAAGAGCGCAAGCAACAACATTGAATGTTTTAATTAATGTGATTAAATTTTGAAATTAAACAGATTGTTTTGTTTGGATCAAAATCTTCTAATCTAATGAAGATCGTGTTCTACATTCGTATAAAAAGTGTCCTTGTGACAGAGAACTTCAACTTTTATCAACGTCGCGTTTGAACAATAAACAAAACACGCGCATTGTTGTTTGACATTTCATTCACACTGAACATTCGAAAGAAAGCCACCAGTCAAACAGTCACATTCACTTAATTACAATTTTGACTACACGGTTCACTCGTTTCAATAAGTTTGTGCAACTTTGTTGTACATGTCATCGAAACCCTATCTATTTAAATCTCAAAAATATATTTTTTTTTTTGCGGCCGGTGTGCGATAAGTGACTTACTACATAACACATAAATTACACACATATCTAGTATGATAAACATTTATTACGTTTTAGTTTAAGTTTAGAAAAAAGATTAGTTTCGTCAATTTAGAATTATCATAAAAACCGTGTCGATCGTTTAAAATGGGAAAGAAACTGTACGAAGGTGAGAAAACTGCATTCAATTTCAAAGTTCATGAATTCGTCGCGTTCAATTCACTTTTGTTTGCGAAATTATATCTTTTGTTTACAATTGAGTCATTCAATTGATTAATCACTTATGGAAAATTACATCCGCGTAATGTCAAAAATAATTAATGAACGAACGCAATATTGAATTTGATAACAAGCTGCTTCGGTGGTGCAATGAATTCGGCATTTTTTTGTGTCGATTTAAACATGTTTTGATTAAGCAATAACACATTATTAAATGATTCTATTTAAAACTTAAAAAAAAACAACAATTTTCAGCTGTTCCCATATTAAATGATGAGAAATCGAAAAACGATTATGGATCGACATCCGCTGCCAATTCATATCTGGTGAAAAATTATAATTATAGTTGCAAAAAAAAAAAATCATTTCTGATGTTGTGATATTATTTTCTTTAGCCGAAAAACCAAATAAAAAGTAATCAGTTATCATATCCAAGAGCTGTGATATTTGTGCTATTGTCAAAGTTTTTTGAAGCATTCGCTGCAAATGGTGTTAGAAGTAAGTGCATTTTTTTATTTTTATTTCGTCCAGTCACCGTTATTTTAAAAAATCTTATTCTTTTCTTTTGATATTCGACGTAGCTGTGCTTGCGTTGTACTTGCGCGATTCGTTGGATTTTAGTGTGGAATCGTCAATGACATTTTATCACATTTTCAATTTTTTTAGTCAATTCTGTCCGGTTTTTGGTGCCATTTTGGCAGACAGCTATTTGGGCAACGTAAAAACCATATTTTATATATTTTTTCTATATGCAATCGGCTGGATTGGCATGGTGATTTTGACGCTTCCACTTCAAATCGGATCAATTTCGTAAGATAACACAATACCATATTGCATTCAAGTCGTTTTTTTTTGTGTGCTCAAGATGTCATCAAACTGTTATAACAAAAAAAAACAATACTCCTCTTGCAGAGCGCTGATAATTACATCATTGATATTGATTGCAATTGGAAATGGTGGGATACGAGCTTGTGTCACATCTTTGGGCGGTTCACAGTTTGAGTTGCCCAGCCAGTCAAAACAATTGGATCAATATTTTTCCAATTATTATTTTATCTATACGCTCGGCATTTTGGTGGCCAAAATTATTCCGCCAGAAATTCGTGCACAAACAACATGCTTTGGACAAAATGAATGCTACACCGCTGTTTTCGGTGCACTTGGAGCCATGTTTTTGGTGGCATGGAGTAAGTACTAAATTAAAATATTATCAATTATTTAACAAGTATTTATTCATTTTTTTTTGTTCGAAGTTATCTTCATGTTTGGGATGTTTTTATACAAAGATGAAAAAATCGGCGAATCGAAGAGTAATATTTTGTTTCAAGTGATTGGTTGCTTTTATTATGGTGTAAAACATAAATTTAGAAAACGACACGATATAAGATCAATGCATAGTTCATGGACCGATGGTGCTATGGACAAGTATCCCGAACATTTTGTACTTGATCTGTGTGCCGCACTAAAGGTAATTTTTTTTCTTCGATCTTTTCTTTTTTTTGATGAGCCCAAAATAAAAAAAGATTCCAAACATTTCAGGTGTTAAAATTATTTCTTCCATTGCCAATGTACTTTGCATTGTTTGGACAAATCGATTCTAGCTGGACGTTTCAGTCGAGTCAATTGAATACAACCGTATTCGGCTATCGTATTGAAGCTGATCAGGCAAAAGCAGCCGGAGCATTGTTGGGTTTGATTTTAATACCATTTTGGCAACATATTGTTATTCCAGCATTGTTGATGTACAATATTAAAATATCACCACTGCAAAGTATTGCGATGGGTGGATTTGCTGCGTTCACATCATTTTTCTGTGCGGCAATTTTACAAATAAACATTGAAGATCGCATTGCGACACACAGCGCAGAATTGTCAGTATTGTGGCAATTTCCACAATTTCTTTTGATGATGTTGGCCGTTGTATGGCTCGAAATACCTGGTTTGGCATTTTCATTTACACAATCACCGTCTTCGATGCGCTCACTAATGATGGCCGCATGGTTCTGTAATAGCGCATTTGGTAATGTGATTGTGATAGCTATCACGGAATTGCGACCATTTAACTTAGCGAGCAGTGGATACTTTTTGTATGCATTTTTGATGCTTGTTGCAATTCTTGTATTCAGCTGGCTTGCAAATGCCTATCAGTATACAGATTATGAAAGTTGTATTGATAACAATGACAATCTAATACGACGACGATCCAGCAACAATGTACCATATTCAGCGATTTCATCACAGGATGGATTGGATCTTATTTTTTAAGAGAACAAAAAAGAATTGTATTCAGTTTGTACATTAAAAACTCATGTAACTTCATTCGCTTATGCTAAGTCTATTTCGAAGATTTTCAATAAAAAAAAACAACAAAATTGTCCACTTCTATTGTGATAAAATCTTAAAAAAATATTCAACTTCAAGTAAACAGTCATCATCTAAATCAGTACAGTGCACTGCATTTTTGATAACATTTACACCAAACTGCGCTCGCAGTGTTTTCGGACGGATTTCTCGGGCAATTTCCTGCAAAAAATTTACAACATTTTTTTAAATATTTTCTTTTAATCAAAAAGATTTTTTTTTTGCATTTACCGGATCAAATGGGCCACATAGCTGTCGAAACGATTGATATGGAGATTCATTTGGATTGGAACAACCAATTTCCAAGGCAATAAATGGCCCACTAGACAATTCAGTTACCATTTGCTGTAAATGAACCGAATAATTAAATAAGAACGTTTTTCTTTATTTGCGTGTTTAATCAATTCATACCAAATAGTCGGGCAATACACCATTGTATACTTCATAGAATTCTTCACAATTTTGACGGCCCAAATTGAACATTTTCATTCCTTTGATTACGAATCCACAATTTGTTATATTTAATAAGATGTCACCGCATTTTCCATCGAGCATTGCATGCGGTTTTATTAGGCACAATGTTGAATTTTCAAATGATTTACATAAATTCAGTTTATTTGCGTGCGATGAATTGGTGAAAAAGAAATCACATACCTTCAAAGAGATATCAACAACATCAATGTAATTCAAAGGATCTTTTTTCATACCGATACTCACTTTGGTTATGTCTTCAATACAGTTTGGATGAATAACTGCATCAGTCATTGCACCATTTCCATAATTTAGACCAGCCGTACATTCATCATTCGATTGTTTCTCGGGACCTTTTGGAAAATTGTCAAAGTTTCATTGAAATCCAATTAAAGCAGGAAAGAAACTCACCTGCAATTAATTGTCTTAAGCGATCGAATGCATTAATTCCTGTTACAATGAAAGCGACCATTGGACCCGTGCACATATCTTCGATGCCAAAACCGAATATGTCGGTCAATTCACTACAATCCTGCCGTGTCAATTCGTACATGGCACAATTTGCAATCGAATATCCATTATTGCAGAGAATTTTAAAAATTTCACCTAATTTTGATAAATACTTGGTTGGTATCATTCCAAATGCCCTAAAAATCGGATAAGGTTAGAATCGTGTGTTTCAGTTGGAGCAGTAGAATTTCAACTTACCTTTGCCGTTGATTTGTCAATTTCCTTCGAGTAGATTCGTCTTCATATTTTGTTACAACAACTTGTCGTCCGAATATATTTAATTTAGCGCCGATATAGAGATTTTTTTCGTTTATATCTGGCACACAAACTCGCTTTAAAAACGTTTTATTCTTTTGACGATCGAACTGAAATGGATTTCGGTTAAATGTGAATTGAATGTGGAACAACTGGCACTTACCATTTCAATGGTTTTATCATATGGAAAATAGTTGAGTAAAAATTGTCGCATTAACCCAGCCTCTTTTTGGAACCACTCAACAGCAAACGATAGACGTTCATGTACAATATTCTCCTGTAAATAAAGAAAACTGAATAAAAATCACGATGATCACTTTGATGAGCCATACCATTTTTTTTTTATCTTTTTCTTTCTATTTTTCGAGATAATGTCTTCCAATGTCCCTTTTTCAATTCATTCAAGCGAAAATCTAAATTATTTATTTTTCAATTTTACTTTTAATATTATTATTATTTTCGATTGTTTGGATCGTTTATCGACATTCAAAAAGTAAACAACATTTTAGCTTGTAAATTGCCTAGCAACTATGACATTTGCCATCGAATTCGTTTCGATGATAATAGATGGCGTTGCCGGAATACCTAGAGTTGCCGGAATACTTTTGCAATTAAGTACAAAAACTTGCGAAAAGCGCGCTGAGACATATGCATATTAGTCAGCTGACCATGAAATTAGAATCGTGAATAAAACGAAATGAAAATGAGTTAAATTTAGTTTTGAATAAACCCCAAAATAAATAAAATAAAGAAAGATCAAAGAGTTACAACGTGTGTTTATAGGGGCACATCAAAGAAGATGATGATTGTTGGTTTATGTGATGCGCATGCGATGTACAATGTTTACAGTTGCCTGAAGGGGTTGTATTGTTAGAAGAGATGACAACATCAACACGGTGCGATTGCATGACGAAATCATTGCAATGTTGCGACCAAGCGACACTTTGAATCTCAGTGTATGGCTTTGCTTAATTGTCGTTTGAAATGCTCTCGCAAACTGTTGTTGTTTTTTTCATTTTCTATTCCAGTGTGTGTGCGCATGTATTGACAGGTACAGCACATATTATTACATCTAAAAGGGAGAAGAAAAAAAAAAATAGAGTATTTGTGAGTCATTTGTTTACAGTATCGTAATTCGTCCGTAATAAATCATCCATCCAAAAATATTCAATGGACATTTGTTGTTTTACGTCTACATTTTTATCATATTATTCGGCAAAAATGCATTAATTCAATGCAACATTTATAGTGAAAACAAATTGAATTTGTGTGATTTTAATTTTGGAATAATTTTGTGTACGTGCATCAAATGTGATAAAATGATAACAAAAATATTCAACGACAATTGAATGTAAAGGTTATGATGTATGTCAACAAAAGAAACGGCATCGATATTTCTACATTTTTTTACTGTAAGTCATATCTTTGAGCTCTAGTTAGAATCTACAGTGAAAGTAAAAATGTGTGAGCGAATGAGTGAGTGAGAGAGTAAATTGCAACAAGGTGACAGAATCTCTGTCTGAAGTAAATCGTGCGATTATTTCATTTATTAATTTTCATATTGCTAGATTTATCAAATAAATGAAACAAAAATTGATGAATCGCTTTATCTCTCTTCAATCGAAATATGTGTCGTCTGGCGCGCGCACAAAATACGATTCGATTTGCATCGATTAAAATAATAAATTGCTTAGCAATTATATGTGTACATTGTTTGGTGAACGGTTGAATAGGCACAACACGATGTGCGTACAATTTAGCAAGCGTTATGAGCGCGTACGACAGACCGTTTTGTTTCTTGTTATTTAATATATATTTTTCTACGATAAAAAACCAAAGCTATATGATTTTTATGGAGTGTATTATTTTTTTGCTTCATATCGTGTCTCTAATTTACAAATGCCATGTGTTTGTGCCGAACGCAAAAACGAATCCGAGCAACACGGACCGCAAACTGTAAGGCATGTTGTAACTGTTTAACGCTCGCCTCTCCTCTCTATCTCTGTTCCGAATACAATGTGACAGTATGTTTCCAGTAGCCAAATACGTCTAAATGCAGAAAACGACCGAAAAAAAACCGCATCACACCGTAACCGAAGTATATACACACTGGCAAGACAAGAGCAAGAACAAACGAACGACTATTAATTCGTTGTTGTTTTGGCTATGGTTTTAGGCAACAACCACACTTTCGAATAGTTTAAATCTATTCAGTGCGTTCAGTAAGGCGGATAATTTTTTTTTGTCGACAGCACCAGTGTACGACACTTTCTTCGATCCTTTGAGTGTGAATGACGAATATGTGATCTGTCAATTGGTTTTTTTTTTTAAATAATTCAAATTCTTACACGCTTCATTTAATTTTGGTAATTTATTTAAACTCGAAAACAGTGAGTCGGTTTGCATTTTATCTTCTCGATTTTTGTTCAGTTTGAAGAGTTTTTTTTTTTTCAAGAGGGTGTTTGGAATGGCTATTTTTTTTTGAGTGCACAATGAATCAAACGTTAATATCAATTGAAGTGAGATAAGAGCCGATAGATTCGATGTGAAAGTTGCACAAATGATTTTGTTGAGCACTCAAAAGAAGGTGCCGCATTGATGTGTGTAAGCCGGATTTCAATGCATCACAAGTGCAATTGTGAAGAGATCGTTGGTATGACGCCGAATCGATTAATGAAAATGAAAAAATGAAGCCATCCACAATTCAGATTCCTTGTGATGTTTGTGATCTTCAATTTTCATTTATAAAAATGCCATTTGAAAATGACAACATTTCCGTGTTGCGAAAATTCACTAATTGCTATCCCGTTGATGACGTGCATGTGTGTGTGATTGAGTCTCTGTCTCGACTTCATTAACAAAATAACGCATTACCAATATGTTTGCAACAACATTTAATTTAAAAAAAATTGGTATTTAATCATGGCGAATGACAGAAATGAATAAAGAAAACGTAATCGTAATCTCGTTTTGTCGTTTGTGCGCTGCTAAATGTGTGTGAATGAATTGGCGCTTGGTTTGTATGTCCAGAGAATTTTGTTGTGAAAGAATGCGCGCGCCGCGATAAGAACATTTACAGTCATATCATATTTTACTTAACATTTTGTGACGCACTGTGAAATCTAGGTGCTGCTTGTCGCCCGCCAGTGGCAAAGAAAGTTAGTTTTTGTTTGTGTGCTGTCGTTTGGTTTCGCTGTACGTTTGCTATATTTTCACTTTCGTTTGTCCCGATGATTTAATCAAAAACCAAAGGTGTGTCTGGTGTAATGCGTGTTTGGAACAACGTGTGTGCAATTGAATGTGTGTGACCAGTGTTTATAATTAACGCACTTACTTTAACTAATGCTCTCTCTCTCTATCTCTCTCTTCGACTTTCTAGACAATTTACCTGGTTCATTTGAGTTTCCTGATCGAGTTACACAGCGTTATCATCACCATCATCAACATTCATCAGTAACAGTTATACAATTTTGATATTGTGAATGCGCGCACGAATATTCATATGCAAAATAATGTGATGTGATAGTTTTATAGAGTTAAACATTTTAAAATATCGTATCCCATTTATTTGTGATTTTAAATTTTTTCGTTTTTATTTGACCGGATCAAATTAAGTTTTTAATACCATTGTTTGTGTATTGTGTGGACAACAACAACAACAACAAAAATCAGTTATTTTCTTTTAATTAAATAATTTGACGCTGAATTTACGAATCGTATTTTAATCGGATATAAACAACATTCGACGCAAAAGCGAAGACTATTTTCGTACTAACCAACGGCATTCATCGAGGTAAGATCATTTTTTGTGTATGCTTTTCTGTGTTTGTATAGTGTCCCCTTGCCCAAAAAGAAATAGAATTCAAGCATTGAATGGATCAATTAGCGGCTCAAAATTGCTTAATTGAAAAGGTCAAAAAATGCTTGAGCGCCGAACAAGATACAAATTGCAGCTAATGCCAAATCTAATTAATCTCGGTTTAGCTGTACGGGTTCAAAATAATATTTCATATATCATCTGTCCAAAGGGATTTGGATTTTGTCGGTGTTTGAATTGTATCGTACTTACGAGCCATTTTTGTGAGTGTTTTCGTGGGGTATTAACAACATTACCGCTTAAATTCATCAAATAGAACTAACTTAAGAATGTGAACTATCAAAAAAATATAGCCGAAGTGCAATTTTCGATCAAGATAGTAATCGAGTGCGTGACCAAAGGTGGTTGACACCATTAAAATCTGCACAAATCGTTCTATTAGCAAGATGTTTACCATTCGGAAATTGAATCGATTTGCCAATCCTTGTTCCTTTTTTCATTCTTTCGTCATTTGTTATTTTTCATTCTCGTTGTTTTATTTTTGTTTACATTTTTGCCATAAATAATTGCGTCATTGAATTGTGAATCGCGCTTTTTCTCACTTTCTCACTCTCTTTTCGGGTCATGTTTGCAGAGTGTTTTTTGTTGAGTATGTGTTTTTTTTCTGTATTGTGATTGTCGCAAGAATTGACCTTTTTGATTGCTGCGGTTGGTTTACATTTTAACAAACGTTAAAATAAAGTAACACATTTGAACCATATGAGTCGACGAACGAATGACAAAACTGATAAATTTTGTTGATTTTAATTGTGTCTGAAAAATGTGTGCGATCTGAATTCAAGAAGAGAGTAATATTTTTTTTATAAAGTGAACTGTCGCAACATTTGTCCTCTTTTTCCCTCTCTTTCATAAAAATAGAAATTCTTGACGACAACAACGATTTACAATGGCACACAAAGAATAAAAAGCAAACAAATATAAAATCTTTGATGATTTCATGTAATTGAAATCATATAAATTCAAATAGTTTTCTCTACATCGACGATTATACCATTCATTCTCATTCTTTTAAATGAAGTCATAGATTACGTTGTATTGAAGGAAGTTTTCAAATTGTTACAAAAAACCATTGATAAGTGTGACAAACAATTGTTGTTTAATGGAGAAAATCATTCGATACCATGTATATTTATCGATGGGCAATAAAGTGATTAAAACCATCACACAATTTTATTCTGCAAAAACAACGCTTTGATGTCATACTAACGCACTCTTAAAATGATCTAGTTTGTTGTTTCACACGCACACACGCAAAAAGGAGCTTTAGATAATGTGAAAAGTCAAGTGATTTATTTATATAATTTAGTTCTCTTTATAATTTTTTTTCCCAGAAACGTAATTACGAACGAACACATTCGTTGAAGTTCTCATAAATAAGTTTCACCTCTGTGCGTTCCTCAATGGTGTTGTTGGACCCAACCGTATGCACGTTACGAAATCACCGTCCAATAAGAACCTATTACCATAACAGAAATGTCTTTGTTGAATGAAACAAATGGCAAAAAATATACACACACACATCATTTAGTCTAAAACTAATTTCAAATTAGTTCTTTCTTTTTGTAAGTTTAACTCTTGTGAAGTTTGGCCCAATTTATGTGTGCCTGTTGCTGTGTTTTGTATTACGATCACAATTTATGGGTTCTCCCATTTAATTTTTTATGTGTGTTTTTAGTGTTGTTTTTTTTGCAAGCGATTTGATGATTTTCTAGCTATCATTGTTGTTCGTTGATTCATAATGTCGACAACGAAACAAATGTGCGCCACATATGTAAACGCTTGTTTTGTTTAAATTCTGTCTGTCTCGCTTTACGTTCTTTTTCTTCTTCTTCGTGCCGGTGCACCAAAACCGTACATATTGTATTTGTTTATCGGATACGTAAATTTGTGGAGAGAAATAAATGTCAACCAATTCATGTGTAAGCCGAAATTGAATTCCGCATCATGAGAACGGTAGCAACGGTAGTACTGTATGTTTTTTTTCGTTCGATGCAATTCAGGTCGCCCTTGGCCAAATTATAAATTTGGCGTATTTTACTTTGATTCAACTATCGATACATATCTGTGACAATCGTGACTATTTGATATACTGGTCTTCTTGTCGATTTAAATGTGAATAGGGGTTTATGTTAATTTTCCACATATTAAAATGCATGTAACATGCAACATGTATTTCAGAATATTTTGAAAACAGAAAAAAAACAGTATCAAGAACTCATTTGAGCAAAAGAAAAACTTGTATTTTTAAGTGTCCGTTACACCCTTTCGAAATGCCGGTTTCCATTTTCGTTAATTTGAAAACAAGTTTTGTGGTTCATCTTAAATTCGGCGATAAGCCATTTTCCAGTCATACATATATGTGCGTGTACAGAAGTAATTTATTTTACATCTTGTTTTCTTGATTTGTGCGTTTCAATTGTGAAAATTACATTTAAGATTTAATCATCTATGATCATCACCATAATTTGCACAAATGTGTGAAAACGAATCTATATCAGTTATAGTTAAACAAACCAGTGCACATTGAGACACTCTTTCAGAATCAATAATTCATGTGCTGCCGAAGAGCAGATGATTCTTTTTTTTACTATATCGATCGCGTTATTGAATACAGATAGCTGGGTTGTTTTGTGGTAAACCAATTTGTAATATGACTTGCGCTTATATAATCGAATGTTGGATGCAGCATTTTTTGTTGTTGTTAAAATGCATATGAGATAATAACATAAAAATATGGTTCGAAAAGTATCATTTTACTCGCAAATCAAATCCAATAGATTTTGAAAGCAACAGCATTTGTTTATTTATTTTTTTTTCCCCGCAATTGATATTGTAGTTACCTCGAAACAATATGCTTAACTTGCTACTTTGAATCGAATTGAAGCCCTACACATGTGGTGAAGATTTTTTTTTTCGTCTATCGTGTTCTATCAATTTCTACAGCTTTATTTTATATTGTTGTTCCGAAAATGACAAAAATACATATACCGTGATCATCGGCAATGGATTCATGTTTCAAATTTCTCACCAGTATATTATCAATCTAATCTGAAGCGACTTTATTTGCGAAGCAGTGACACAAACCCTAGTGTGCATAAAACCAAATGAACGTCTTCATATTTAATTGAATTACAACTTGGTTTACTTCAAACCACTGACTGGGTCACTCAGAATGTGTACTGATTTTTTTTTGTTCGAATTGTATTTGCTTCAATGGCTTCTGATGCATACCCAATTTTGTAGCCCAAGAAAGATCTACATACTTCCTGATTCGATTCCATAAAAAAATGACCGGTTTCGTTTCCTATAACGTAAAAATGTATTTGCTACTGATTCGAACAAGTCGCGCTCGAAAAAATGTCTACAGTGAGTATCATTTTGAAGTATATTCTGTATTCGTTTTGTAGTTTTGCAATGCATTCACTCAACCGATTTATTTATCTGGTTTCCCATTCCCCATTGTATTTGACAAACGATGAACATTTGATGATGTAAGACAATATGTTTCACGGATATTCATTTAATTTCTTTTTTCATCAGTTACATCTTCATATTTAGTTCTCTGTCCCTCTCATTCAAGTGATGTGTGATCCTTCATCATCACGATGTAGATGATGAAGATGATCTCCATTGTGATAAAGAAACAATCCAACAAAAAAAACAAGGAATGATAAGTGAAACAGAGCATGATTACTGCTTGTATTACAAAAAAGTGCACCTTTTGTTTTGTTTCGTATATTGTGACGCGTTCTACGACGTTGTTAACAGAAACAACACGGGCGCACAAGATGGAAAATTTAACATATGCAACAAGCGCAAAAAAGTCGGTAAAAATATCATATGTCACCCACATTTGCACTGCTGCGCATCCACATTCACAAACGCACCTTATCAAAGTATGCGCGACGACGGGTGACTTTATTTCTTCTTTTTTTTCGCTTTCAAACAGAGAAAGAGAGAAAGAGCGAGAGACGAGAAAATAGGAAAAACCAAATCAAATTTATGGAGTTTAGAATTTCGTTTGTATTCGCACGATCCGTTGCGCATTAAAGGCAATTTTGCTTTCTGAAAGCTTTGCATACAGCTTAGTATTCATTTAGTGTGTTAACAAGTTGGAAACGACTGCTTCGACCACCAGTCGCACCAAATTAATTAGTTTTTTTTTTGTATTTTGATGTGTGTCTTGTTAATTGCGTTCTAAATTTTCAACGAAATGTGTAAAAAAATTGGGAAAATGACAAAAACGATGCATTTTCTTTTCGTTTAAGATTTGATTTTGGATGAGCATTTTGGTCAATATAGAGTTTGAAATCGTTGTGATCTTTTGACGAAACAAAGGGAACATTTGTATAAACAAAACACAAAAAAAAACAATATGAGCAACCGATGAATGTGAATATTATGCTTGCATTGTGCTTGATTTAGCCGATATGAAAAAATTTTTAAGCATAAAAAATTCACAAGGAATTTATGTGGCGCGTGCATCGTTCTCATCGGATGAAACTGTGATCGATTTTGTGAATAGCAAAAGTACGGACAATTGTAATATAAAACCGATTTCCATTGCCGTTACACCTGACCAATTAAGAGCAACAACAGCATCAGCCGTCGCAGCATCAGCTTCATCAAGTGAATTGACTGCATTTGAATCATTTGTCGACGATACCATTTCAGTACCATCGCAATCGTTGATTGTGGCAAAGTCGAATAGCAAGAAAAATAAGCGTTTAAACAAAGTACTAACATTACTACATTTGAAAAAGAAAACGACCACAATATCAACGTCAACAAAAATGAGTGACATTTTAAATGATGATGCAACAAAGAAAACGTCGATCGATGAAATGCCATCAACAAGCAGTTCATTTCCGCAGTTACCAACACCAAAAGCTGTACGAAGCAAAGGTCGTACGGCGGCATTGGTGAAGAAATTTTCATTGACACCGAAAAAATCACCGCCAAAAGAATTAAGTGTTAAAAAATCAGCGATTCCATTACGTACAGCAACAAGTGTTGAAACAATATCGAATACACCACAATTGGCACTACGGAATCGGGTCGAAACGACCACCAATGTGAGTCATCACAGTGTGTCCGAAATGAATCTGGTGAATATTGATTATCGTCAGGAGAGCACCGGTGATAATTTGGATATTGGTGTTAAAGTTGGTCAAACACAATATCGAACAATACGTAGTAGCATTGCAAGCGGTTCGATCGATGGAGGTGGTGGTAGCGGTGGCGGTGCAGCGCGTAATTTGAGCATTAAAAGCGGTATTTCGTCAGCAAATGACGGCAACAGCAACAATAATAACAATAGTAAATTGGGCACAGGGCGAAAGAGTACAAGTTCGGAAAAGTTACAAATTACAATATCAGGTAAGAAACGTACGAACACAATTGATTCGGCATTCGAGTTGCAGCAACGCAAACAACAATCATTGTTGTCAAATACAAACGAAATTGAACCATCAAGAATTGAACGTAAAGCAATGCAACAATCACCAAAGAAATTCAATATCAACCATGATCTAACACTTATGAATACGGTTGGTGTACCACCAGCACCAAAAACGCAAGCACCATCGGCAATACCATTATATCGAGCTGTTGCTGTTACAGCAGCACCAACAACAGCAACAACAACAATGACGGCTTCCATAAAAAATGTCGGACAACGCGGTACAACCATCAAAGCACAATCGACGATGCAATCGCAACAATCAGTCGATACGAGTGCTTCAGTTGGAAATGTTCAAAGCGAAAAGATCGCTGCATACGGTAAAACCGATTTTTTAACAATTACCAGTTTTGATGTAGACGAACCAGACGATATAGCTGCAGCCACAAAGCTTCCGATTCATGATAAAGACACATCACTATTCACCGAAATAATTGAGGCAGAACGTCGAAATTCGATGTCAATGGATTTGCCAGAACGTGAACGCCGTTATCCAGGCGTTGCGGCCAGTGAAACCATTAAATTTGGCCATCAATCGACCAGTTCAAGTGATACAAATGGCGGTGGTCAAGAAACATCAAAATCGCCACCTTCGCCACCATCCTCATCGCCACCACATCAGCATGAAATCGTACCAAAAGTGATTATTGAAGAAGTTGCCACATTGAAAAGTGACAAAACTTTCGAACCAACATTATCGGCCGATATAGGTGAAGATGCATCCAACATTGATGGCAAGGATAAAGAGCTACTAATGTACACATTAACCCAATCGAGTGGCGCAAAAGTATTGCAACCGAATGAGGAGAACGATACAACGCAACCAACACTACAATTTGAGGTAGGAAAGAAAGTCCGTCCAATTTTCCCGTCTAATCAAAATTTGCACCACAACACCTATTCAGCACTTGTTATTGATCCAGCCACCGTTTTGACAACGTCTTCGTACCTAGATACGCACAATAGTAGTGATTCATTTGCTCACGTGCACGGTGGCACCGAACCATTAAGCGCGCCAAATTTTGATGCGCAAAACGATAAAGAGCTTGACGGCGTTAAAAATCAATCTACACTACACCAAAAATTAACAAATTCGTTTCGTGGTGGTCGACGTCGTATTGCGTATATTGCTCAAGTGTCTAATAAATCGGCCAGTGGATCACCATCCACATCAGATAGTACTATAAACACTGAAGACGACGATATTTTACCTGAAAATCAACCGGATTCACTATTAACGTCACAATTTGATGACGATTTACATACGAGCAGCACATTTATCACGGATTTCTTAATGCCGCCATACGGTGATTTAGTTTGGGACGATGATGGGGTAATCGAACGAATACCAAACAATTGTCAATTTTTTTTTAAATCTATTTTGTTTTTGTTCTTTTGTCGTTTTTGTTCTTTTGCTCTCTTGTATTTTGTTTTGTGTCCATCGTTTTTTTTCTGTATTGGGTTTAGTTTTAATTTTCTGTTTACTTCATGGAATCAAAAGAAAAATCAACAAATGATCAACTCGAAACGAAATCGAGAAAAAAAATGAATGTACGAATGAAATTCTTTAACGGTGCGAAAAGAAATTGATCGAGATAGAGAGCATTTTTAAGCGGTGTGACATTCGATTTCCTCCTTCTTCTTATAAAATTTTCCTTTGTGTGTATACATTTTTTTATCATTCATCTTCTTATTTGATTTGTTCTGTATATGCGACTTGTAATGTGTATTCAATGTTTGAGAGTTGATTAAAAAGTTTACTGTTGACTCTCGACGAATTGATAAGAGACGTGTTTTTTTTCTGAAAAAAAAATGAAGAATGTAAATACAACGAAGACGCCCATCATGATGCATACATATACAGCAAAAAATCTCTATCTCTGTCATTCATTCGTGTTGTCTCTCACATCTATTGAAAGTAGATGAAAAAATACACAAAATACATAACTTCATATTTGTTCGAAACCATAGAACTGGCTAGCTATAGCAAACCGCACACACAGTACATACACTGTCGTATAGATTTATTGTAAGGAAAAAAGCTTACAAAATCGTGGATTTGTAACAATATTCATTTGGTTGTTCGTTTGGTATATTTTCGATTCTAAGTGTCGCGTGTGTGTTTTTTCATTTGCTCTCGTCTGTTGTACATTTCACAACGAATATGCCGGCAAAAGTGTGTTAAGAAACCGAATAAATTAGTTGGTGCCATTGTCCCTCATTCTCTTCATATTTGTTGTTGTTGTTGTGGTCGTCTTATTTTTCACTTCTTGTCTTATATTTGTTTCTCACTATCTCTCCCTCTCACTCGTGTGTCTATCTATGTTGCTATTGTTTTTTTTTGTGTCATTTGATTCTAACACAACTATTGCTAATAATTTTCTGAAGAAAAAAAAAATCGACACTGACTTAAGGATCACTTCAAAGGTTTCGCATGAAGTGAACATGTGGTTTAAAATCGTGAATAGATGAACGTAATAATACCTTGGCTCAAATTTTATTGACACAACCTTATGGTTGAATGAATTGGAATCAAGGAGAAAAAACAAGAACATTTTTTTACAAGAAAATATTAAATTTCCATTTAGAAAGTCGACGCTCATTTTCCCAATGCACTATTATTCCTGTCCATTCTCCATACGCAATTCTATTCCTAAAAATAGTTTGACTAATTGGTGGTTTCAGTACGATTGATCGCGTGGTGGGGTCAATCATATAAACGTTTTTCATTTGAAGATAAAGAAATTTGAATAAAAAATGGGACGACGGAAAAACACCCTAGTACTTAAGACTTTTTTTGCGATTTTTTTCGTTAGAAAATCATGTGATATTAATGGAAAAATATTTGATGTTAATTCATTTGTTGTTTTTTTTCTCTTCCTTTTTCGCTGTTATTTTCGGTTTGGCGGTGGTTTTTACAGCGACGAAATATGTCATCGTCGCCGGAGAAGCGCGAGCACTTGTACAAAATACTAGTCATCGGCGAACTTGGAACTGGCAAAACATCATTTATCAAACGGTATGTGCACCAGTTTTTCAGCCAAAACTATCGAGCCACAATCGGTGTCGACTTCGCATTGAAAGTATTGAATTGGGACCAAAACACAATTATTCGATTGCAGTGAGTACATACATTTTCTTAGACAGCTTTTTTTCGCCACTGGTGTTTGTATTATCATTATTTTATTCTCTTCTTTCGTTATTCAATAGGCTATGGGACATTGCAGGTGTGTATACGAAAACATTGCCGAAAAATTAATCATCATTTAAAATCACGTTATTGATCAGTGATGATCAGAATTGACCGTGATCGTTATTTTTTGTTATTCCAAGTTATCAAATTTCTGAATGCGATTTCTTTCTTTGTTTTTTTTTTCGATTTCGATTGGAATATTGTAGGTCAAGAGCGTTTCGGAAATATGACGCGCGTTTATTACAAAGAAGCGGTTGGCGCATTTATTGTGTTTGATGTCACACGAAGTGCAACATTTGATGCTGTCATTAAATGGAAACAAGATTTAGACTCAAAAGTGCAATTACCAAACGGAAGCCCAATTCCATGCATACTGATAGCGAACAAGGTAGAGGATCCGAAAACACTTTTGATAATGCACTATTTGAATGAAGAATGTCTTAACTGTAATTTGTTTAATTTTGCTTATGATTTAGTGTGATCAACCCAAACAAGGTATCGTCAATACTCCGGCCAAAATGGATGACTATGTAAAGGAGCACGGTTTTGCTGGCTGGTTCGAAACATCGGCCAAAGAAAACATTAACATTGAAGAGGCAGCACGAGCATTAGTCAATAAGGTGAGCCACTTACACTTCCACTCAAATTTACACAAGCACATCGAATTTCAATTTGATAATACGCTTTGATTTTTTTATATTCGTTTCATACAATGTAATCTCATTTCCTTTTTATCCCCTTACACTCTCCAGATTTTGTTAAATGATAAGATTATTAATGCCGGCGAAATACTTGATGGGGATAAGCTTAATTTGGATAGTAGCAGTTCAGAGCGTCCGAAGAAAAATTGCTCTTGCTGACGTTTTATTTATAGCATGAAGATATCGATGTTTGATCTAATCTAATCGAAAAAAAAGTACCGTTTTTTGTTGGCGAACATATTTTGAGATGTGTGTCCATCAGATCGAGAAGCAGTTTTTAACACGTTGAAAAGTTAAGACATCAGAAAAATAAATAATAATACACAAAGAAGAGAATATCATCTACTTGAGATTATTCAATATGTTTCAAGTGAACGAACACACACAGAGAGATATTTAATAATTGATTGCGTTCATTTTTATTAAAAATAAAATTTTCAATGTGTTTTTAAAAAAAATTAGCACTTAAATCCCAATTACCGAAACCAAAAAAAAAAAAATCATTCGAAAAAGAAAGTCCGTCTTCGTCGTATTTTAATGAAAAGAAAAACAAAATTTATGAATTTATGAAATATTATAAATCAAACACACGAATGAAAAGTATCAATAAAATTCATGAAGAAAACAAAATTTGTGCAGGTTTGTAAATACACTAAATGAGCACGTATATTTCCATCCTCAAAAAAAAAATTATCCTGCCATCAATAAGTGAAAACAAGACAAAAATAAAAAGGAAAAAAAACCAATTTAAAAATTTATCAATTGACGTCAGAAATGTGTGTAAATAATGTATTTTGCTCCAAAACCAAGAATAGATAGAGTCAATCGGAGCGATTGCAAACCATGATGTTTTGTTCAAATATTGACGATTTTTTTTAACTTTTTAATTTGTATCAAGCACGTTTTAAACAAACAAACAAAAATTGTGTTAGGAATACTTTTATCGCATTCGCTTCCTATGCAAAGATAAGACCTTACGAAAAAAAATAAAAATAAATAAAAAGAGGATATAAATATTTGTAACGAAAACTAACTCTATTTATACGTCCTTTATTCACTTTAATCCGAGATGCCAAATCAATATTTAAAAAAAATGATTGCAAAATATACACAATTTATAGCTTTGACTTTGCTTATGAAAGATTGCATTAATAATATTGTCAAATAAACGAAACTCAATTTAGAAATAAAATGTGTAGGAAAAACGTTCACATGCAACAAGCGTTGAGCGCAAAAAAAAGATATCAATAGTTTGTTCTAAACAGAAATCACAAAAACGAGATAGAAAAATATTTGAATACGAAACCATTCAGAATATATAGAATATCCGATACCTGATTTTCGCCACACACTCACACTTTTTACCTTGCCACATGTTAAACACTGTATTTACCTTAACAAAATCAAACCATATTTTTCATAAATAAAACATTTATTACACAATTTAAAAATAAAAAAAAACGTCCATTGTATTTTCATTCATTTTTGCGTGCCTCAGCATTTTTTTGCTAATACAATGGTACTGTTTGATTTTCGTCTTTTTTTCTGTTTTGTATGTGCATAGAGTTTAAAACCATGACAAATTCTGTACAAAAATAATTTACATTCATTTACTTTGGTTTGCAATGCAATTTTGAGGGGTTCAAACAACTTTTCATCAATTCTGAACAATAAGAATAAGTACAATGATTTTGAAGTGAGTTGTACGAATTTCGGAATGACTTAAAAAAAACTCAATTTATGTGTGTAAAGAAGAAAAGGAGATCTTTCTCTCCATAAAATATTTTGGAGAAGAAATGTTGCTAGAAGTAGATTTGGAGCCATCATTTCGTTATAGATCCAGTATCGAAAGGCATTATGTGTTTCTTCGTTTTATTTTCGTTGCTTTGGACTCTGATGTTGTTAATGTCTAACTTGTAGACTGTCGTCGTTTATCTATGTAACTTTTTATCAAATCTTGATTTTCAAATGCCCAAACGCCAAGGGTGCAAGCAAAGCAAATAGCACCAACAGCTATGTGTCCCAATACCGACTGGCGAAATAGACGGTTCTGTTGAATTGAAGTGAAAAATAAATAAATTTCTCGAATTTTAACGATATTTACGATATTTACCTCTGACATTTTACATGCAATGCCCAAGACAATCAATGTGATGAAGAACAGTTTGTTTGGTTTGATTCCATCCAACGGTTTGAGATTAACAGAATGATATTGTTTGTGAATGTATCGGCTACTGAAAATGATTCTCAAAAACATGTTTGTACAATTAGCCAGAATGAATCCAACAGGACCAAGGAAGCTGGTCAATTGATAAGACAACAGTAGAAATGTTACGGAAAAGAATCCCATATAGTAATTGTATCTGGAACGCAAAACATGAATTTCTCTTAATGCAAAAAAGAAAAGAAAAAAGAACAAATGACTTGAGATGCACCTACTTGTCTAATTCATTGCTTGTCATTGTTGCAAACATATATCCTTCACAAATACCATTGACCGCTAGTAAAATGATTGCAAGCGCATGACATCGAAGCAATATCACCGATAAACCATCGTCATCCACAAATTTTGTGCCGCCATACAGTGTGAGAACGGTTTTTGCATAGCTTTGTCCATAAACCACTCCAATCAATCCAATTGACGTGACCACCTTCAGTAGATTGTACAGCACCGAATGGGCTTGTTCAACTTTGTCACGTGGTTGTTTCACGAGAGGAATGTCTCTGGCCAATGTTTGTGTAAAATAAAAGTAGCTATTCTCTTCGATTGGCCGAAATACAAAGCGAGCGGCTAAACTTCCCAAATTATTGACGATATCATAGGTAGCTTGTTGTGAAAATGACATGAGTGGACTGATTGTCATTACGTATCTCTCGCCTTCGGTTAAAACTTGCTTGAGAAAACCCTGTTTGAAGAAGCTCAACACCAGCGACTTAAGATTGTCATTGAATATTGTACCCTATACGGAATAAAAAAAAAACAATTTCAAATAATGATCGATTCATTTTGATTGCTAAAATGATCTTACCGATGAATTTTCTAAATATCCCGGAAGCATTTGCTTAATACTATTGAATGGAATGGAATCGTCTATGTCAGGCGTTTGATGATCTGATGTTTGATTGTCATCATCTCGTTTTGTCGCACCAATTCGTTTCTTTGCGTTATCGATAAAATAGATGAAATATACATAGTAACCAATGGCAAAGGTGACAGTGCTGCCGACTTGTGCATAACTAAAAGCGGATATCGCTTGATTTGGATCACGTAAAATCAACACAATAAACAATGTCGATCGAACAAATATGTGCAATGTATCGAGAACAACACGAAGTTTAACAAAGCAAAATACTTGAGCTACAAATACAGGCGTTTCAGCAAATAGTTCAATGATGCCCGAAACAACAATGCAAATGCATCCGAATTTATACTGATCGTAGATATCATCAGCTACTGCCGATCCATAATTCAGCCAGACATACAAACATGGTACCGAGAAAATGCAATAAATTGGCAACCTGATGAAAACAACAAAATGAAAAGAAAAAACGAACGAATAAGTAGGCATTAAATTTCATAGAGTGCATAGAGAAAATAGGCGACGAACATTTTCGGTTTTTAAAAAAACAAATGATGATAATTTTCTTACGTCAACCACAGCTGATTTATTATGTGCGGCCATATGTGTTTCTCGTGCGGATTTGATGTCGAGCTGAGCGTTGCCCGTCGAATTGCTTCACGCGACAAAAACGCAAGCGTACTTTCCAACAACAATAGGCGAACATTCATAATACCAAGCGCATCACGGTCAACAATTCGTATAACAAATGAATTTATTCCAAATGTAATACATCGGCACAAAATCTAGAAATAGAATTGCGTGAATTAAAAAAAATAACAACTATTATTATTTGGCATGCGATCAGACAAAGAAAAGAATGATGCATGTGATGTGGTGTAACAAAATAGGAAATAGCCGCCAAACTGTGCCTAATATTAGAAATTTACCGGGGCCGAAAAATGAATATTGATGCCAAAAGTCAAGTAGCTGGTGTTTTGGTTCTTCAGAAATCTCTCTTAATAAATCGGCCGCCTTTTTTTATCAGATTTAAATAAATTGCTTCAACACTCACCTGAAATACGATATTGATCGAAGCGCTGTGAATGCTGCTTTTTAAAACGTTTCGGCTCATGTTTGACGTAAATTTAAAATTTTCTTATGTAAAATTCCAATGAATACAATTTTCTAACTATTCTTATCTTTTCGTTGAGTCTCATTTATTTTTAAAAATAAAAAAAAAAATGAAACAAAATTTCCACTTCACTCTTGTAGCTGACGATATTCTATGTGAAATTGTGAAAATTGGCTGCATTTATTTAATGATTTTGATGCTGAAATGGTAAACGAAAGATGTAAACGATAGTTTCAAAACATTGGTCCACGATGACATCTTTTATTGGTCCGGTTGAATTTGTTTTTAATTTCACATTCACATCTGCACTGATTTCTATCAATTCACAAACCGAACACGAATCTGACAATTATGATGGGTTTACAGTTTCAAAACACTTGGCAACTCTGTCAATTGAAAACAATTGACTATTGTGAACGCACCATAATTGTGGGCTTTTCGAAATTCATTGAGGTGCTTGGTTGTTAATGTAATAAACCTATGAGCATGTATCGTGTTGTACAGTGCGTGCAACATGTATTGAATTCCATTGTGAAGCTACAAAAATGATTATTAGCAAGAAAAACCAACAAATATCGAAAGAGCGAAGAAAAAGAGAAGACTTTTTATCTGTTCTGGATTTATTTAAGTAAATCGACGGTGTAAAAAAGATCGTTGAATGTTTTTCTCTGTCTGTGATTATCCGTTCCGAATTTAGGCTTTTGTTGTAAAAATACAACAACCGTTACATTGTTTCACATATTTTGTATATACCGGCATTATCATTCATTCACACCAGATATTTCGGTGTTACTGTAACGCAGATTAAAACCGCAAAACAAATTCTCGTACAATTAAAAGATAAACGAAAAGAAAATATGGAGCTGTCTTTCAATTTAGAATGGAAACATTTAAATTTACAAGTAAAGAAAAGTGAATTTGGTTTCTGGCAATGCAGAAGACACGTTGAAGAGAAAACCATTTTAAACAATGGTAAATTAATTAAACATTTTTTTTTTTCATTTATAATGCGTTTTTCTACTGTTTTTTTACTTTTTACTTTTCTATCATGCAAAGTGAGTGGTAGTTTGAAAAGTGGTCAATTGATTGCAATTTTGGGTGAAAGTGGAGCTGGAAAAACGACACTATTGGCTGGCATTTCATATCGTTTTCGTGGGCCGCTCAATGGCCAACTCTTATTAAATGGCACACCAATTGATCGCGAAACAATGACAAAAATATCATGTTTCGTACCACAATTTGATATAACCATCGATTCATTGACACCAAATGAACATTTATATTTCATGGCTGAATTGAAATTGGATCGAAAATGGTCACGTTCGCGCAAAAATCAAAGAGTCGAGTTTTTACTTCGGGAACTGGGCCTGCAAGCTGTGGCCAATAATAAAATCAACTCACTTTCGGGCGGTGAACGGAAAAAATTGAATTTGGCCACCGATGTAAGCTCAAAACTATCTCATTCATTCGAATAGGAATTTAAGTTTGTGTTTTGTTCTGATTTCAGTTGCTTACAAACCCGCCGATTATTTACTGTGATGAACCAACTACAGGTTTAGATTCGTTTGGCGCACGAAAGGTGATCGAAGCATTAAAGTATTTATCAAGCACAAGCAGTGATATTTCATCATCGCTTCAACCATCAAATGACATCGAATTGAGTTTAAGCAAACAAAAGATCGTTCGAATGCCACCAAAAGCAGTGATTTGTTCGATACATCAACCAACGTCGGATATTTTTCAATGTTTTTCGGAAATCATTTTGATGCATGGCGGTCGATGTGTTTTTCAAGGCACCACCCAGGATGCATTTGATTATTTTGCAAGGTGTGTCAATCATACATAAATCATAATATGAGGACGGTGAAAGCGTGCACCGTTAGTTTGATGTTTGACATTTTTAATTAACTATTTTGGATTCGGATATTCATTTTGTTTAGATTGGACTTTCATTGCCCCGCGTCGTACAATCCAGCCGATTTTTTCATCAAAGTTTTGTCACAGGCTGACGGACTAGAAGTCTTAGATAACACAATAAATGATAGTAACGAAGAAATGCCACAATTAACCGCCAACGACTTGGTTGTTGATAATTTTCTTTCAAACAAAACTCAAAAGTATAGACGCCATTTCAGTTTATGCGGTTCAATTTTTACATTCTTTTTTTAAATACATTTTTCAGTCACAATTCATTGTGGATAATACAAGTTTGGATATTGCTTCTTCGAAATACGATTGAGGCAAAAAGAAATTCGAAAAAATTGTTCATAGCTCTTGTTTGTTATTTGGTAAGTGACGTTTTTTTTATAGTTAGATCAAACGAATTCGTACAGATTGATGTGCAACTTTTTGATTTTTCTTTTTAAAATAATTGATACTTAACATTGCAGATACCTTTCGTTTTAATGGGATTGCTGTATTCGAATCTAACAGGCACGATTCAAGAAGATGTGCAAAATGTTCAAGGTTTAATTTTTACGGTGACTTGTGAAATTTTATTTTCGACCATGTATCGCATTCTAAATTTTTATTTGGCGGGCACGCCATTACTGCGACGCGAGACAAACGAGCGATTTTATAGTTTTTCTGCATATTATGTTGCGAAAGTATTTTGTGATATACCATTTCTAAGTGTTCGTCCGCTCTTTGGTCTTATTATCACATACAATTTGGCTGGTTTTACGAAAGGAATTCTATTTTTTATTGAAATGTGGGTGACACTTATATTTCTGGCATTCGCATCAAATGCATATGGTTTGATGTTGGTTGGTGTATTTCGATCTGTCATTCTTGAAGTTCCCACCGTATTTAATCTTATCTTTTTGTCAATGTCGGGTGCATATGCCAGTTTAAGTGATTTTCCCATTTTAAAATATTCATCACTAATCTATTATGCATACGAAGCAATATCGATATCCTTTTGGTACGACATCAATGAAATTGGTAAGTGAAATCGATATAAAATAATATATGTTTCATCTCCCTTCCATTTAAAAGCTCTTTCGTTTTGAAAATTATTAATTAGTTGGATTAATTTTTACTTATTATAAATTCATGGTGGTATTTAAATGATTTTCTTTAAATATTAGAATGTTCGGATCGATTCGAAGGACTATGTTTGAGAAATGGAACCGAAGTGTTGAACAATATATCATTTAATACTCGTTTGGATGATGTGGTTTGGGACCTGTTTGGATTAATCATTTTGGGAGTGTTGATGCATATAATGGCTTTCATCGGCATTCGACGTTTCATTCACAGTGCTGGCTATTATTAATTAGGAAATTCCTTGTAATTGGAAACCATAAGTGCAATAAACGATTTGTTTACATTGATTTTCTTTTTTCTAAACAAACTTAATTGTCTTTAGTCAAATCATATGTAACAACATTCCATACTGAACGCTGCATAGAACATGATACGCATAAACATAATCTTTTCAATGCAGTCGTGTGTGTGTGCCTATCGCAAATATGCAATCCAAAGTCAATCCATGTGGCTTATTAGTTGTGTGCATATCATTCCCGACATGTTCATTGTTATTTATTCGTCGTGCGTTGAAAAACAAAACGGACCAAATCTTACTTATGTAAACACCATGAATACGTGTTACTGTGGTATATTGACTTTTGGATTTTATTTTAACTGACTGACAACAATACACACAGCTTCGACTCTATCAAAATCGATTACAATGTTTCAACAGAGATAGATAAAATTAGCTTCTGATGTCTAGGCAATCATGTATATCATTTTATGATGATGCGTTTATGTGAATATGATAATTGTGAATACATTTTTCAACCTTGTAGTGATTTAGTTTGTAACAGAAAAAAAACACACAATCCGAGAAGAAGACGATGACAATGATGACAAAGATAAGAGTTGACACAATGATGGAGAAATATTTACATTACGATTATAATGACTGTAAAATTATCTAAATGAGCTCTCTCGTGCGCTCGTTCGCATTGATAAAAAACTCACATTGTGTAGAACTAGCGCCAAGTAAAATGCAATGACGAAAACCAAAGAGGAGTCAACTAAAGGTTTTCATTGTTCTTAGATGTTTAGATTACATCTGAATTAAATTGAGGCGAAGATCAGGAAAGCAACAAAATGAACACAGACGTAGTTTTGGAATGGCGAAATCTTAATTTAATTGTTGAAAAAAAGGAAGTTAGCATTTTAAAATGTCGCGTCGCACACGAGGAGAAACGCATCTTGGAGAATGGTATATTTTGCCTTCGTCATTTTTTGTTTTCGTTGGAAATTGTTGAAATGAAAGTTAATTTTTTTTTCCCATTTTTTGAAAAGTGAGCGGTAGTTTGAAAAGTGGACAGCTGGTGGCGATTCTTGGTTCAAGTGGCGCTGGTAAAACCACATTGTTAGCTAGTATATCGCAAAGATTTCGTGGTCCATTAACTGGTCGCATTTTGATTAATGGCACCGAAATCGATCGAAAAACAATGACGCGGGTATCATGTTTTGTGCCACAATTCGATATAACTATCGATACACTGACACCAAATGAACATTTATACTTTATGGCTGAATTAAAATTGGATCGATCGTGGTCACGATCACGCAAAAATCAACGCATCGATTTACTATTGCGTGAATTGGGCTTGCGACACATTGCCAATAATCGAATTTCAACACTGTCCGGAGGTGAACGAAAAAAATTGAATTTGGTCACCGATGTAAGTGGATACACATAATTGAATGTCTCTGTGGGTGAAAATCAATCGTAGACCACATTTATAAAGTGAAAAAAACGCATTCCGATAATTGATTGCCATGGAAAAATTTAAAATAATTTCAATTATTGAAATAGTTCCTTTTTTTCGAGGTTTCTGAAAATTGTAAACTGACAGGGAAAAAAATATAGGCTACGTATGAATTTCACCGATAGGGATGATATGATTTGATTTTTAAATTTTCCATAGTTTTATTTGTTGTTTTTTTTTTCGCACGCATATGTTTCGTGATTTGTAGTTGCTTACAAACCCGCTGATTATTTTCTGTGATGAGCCAACAACCGGGCTAGATAGCTTTAATGCGCGAAAAGTTATCGAAGCCCTAAAATATTTATCAAATATAAACAGTGATATTAACGCACATTCACCAACACATGAAAACGATATTACAAATGGAAATGAATATGGCATGGAATTAGCAACAACCATAAATTTGAACAATCAAATGCCGGCAAAAGCAATTTTATGTTCGATACATCAACCAACATCGCAAATTTTTGAATGTTTCTCACATATTATTCTGATGTATGCGGGACGATGTGTATTTCACGGTACAACTGAAGAGGCTTTCAATCATTTTTCCAAGTGAGTTGAAATGTGATGAAATCGATTTTTATTTTGTTGGAAATTTGGCAATCAAATTGATGTTTTACATTTTAGATTAGGCTTTAATTGCCCAACCTCTTACAATCCGGCCGATTTTTATTTGAAAGTGTTATCAAGCCAATCGCAAGAGGAAGAGAGCCAGTATCGGTCATTTTTCCAGAAACCAATTGAAATCCTTCGACGATCCAGCAACTATAAACAACCAAATGTTGCAAACTTTGAACGCTTTAATGTGACAGTCTACAAAATGTAAGCTCAAGCAATTTTCCTTCTTTGTGTATCTGAGAGAGACAGAATGTGTTATCCATTTAATTATTTGAATAAATCGATTTTCAGCAAAAGTGCATTTTGGCTCACCCAGGTTTGGTTGCTAATGAAACGGTCTCTCTTGAATACTCGAAGAAGTTATCGTGAAATTTTCATCGATATGGCCTGGTATTTGGTATAAAATTCATTTTCAACACAAAACTCGCAGAGTGAGAGACTTTTATTTCATTTTTCATTGCATAGATTCCATATGTTTTTATGGCCGGATTGTATCATGATAGTACAGGACATACACAGAAATCAGTTCAAGATGTCAATGGATGTTTATTTATTATAACGTGTGAATTAATTTTCACCGTATGCTATTCAGTGATGAATTTTTATCCAACACAATACCCGATACTTCGACGTGAAACAAATGAACATTTTTACAGTTTTTCAGCTTACTACATTGCTGAAGTGTTTAATGTGTTGCCAGTTTGTTTTTTGCGATCATTCGCTGGCATTGCCATAACATATACATGGGCTGGTTTCAATAATGGATTCGGGCTTTTTTTCCGAATTGGTTTGACCCTTATGATTGCATCATTTACATCAAATGCATACGGTTTGTTGGTATCTGGCATCTTCAAAACGGTCTCTACGGACTTGGCGTCGGTGTCTGACTTGATATTTTTGTGCTTTTCGGGTGTTTATATGAATTTAAATTCAATACGCTTCCTTCGATATATTTCACCGTTTTACTATGCAAACGAAGCATTGGCCATTTCATTCTGGAGCAATGTCACACATATCGGTATGTTTACAATGAATTATCTTATAATCGTATATGTATAATACGTTTTAAATTTTTATATTTGACAGAATGTCCGCAAAAATATGATGGAAATTGCTACAAAAATGGCACCGAAGTATTGCAAAATTTATCATATAACACGCATCCAAATGACTATCTATTCGATTACATGGGACTCTTTATCCTCGGTTTAATTATGCATTTGTTTGCATTCTTAGGTATACGACGAAATATCACCAGTGTCGGCTATTTCTAAATCGATCAATGATTATCAAATAAATGAAAATTGTTTGTTGTTGTAAATACGATGAAGCTGCAAAAATACAATTGTTCAAAATATTCAAAATGGTTACATAGCATTATTATTATTCCATTATATCAATTCTGGTCGAACTAAAGTGGAGGTGGTGGGAGGGGGATGAGCTTATTTAAGATTAGCGATGTTATCGCAAAATATTGCTATGACACTTGGAGGCAATGTCTGTGTGTGGCTGTGTGCGAGAATGAGTGCTTCTTTCTCTCTTTTTCTCCCTCTCTCTCTGACTCCCGCTCCATTTCGGTGTTTGCACTGATTTGACCAGTTATTCGCTTATGAAGAAGTGATAAATGTAATGTAGTCAATTGTAAATGCAAAGGCAATTCCATACATCTTTCATATTCTATCCACATTTTATGTGAGTATTTTCTGTTACATAGGTTCTCAACGTATTTGGTACTTTCATGCGATTCATTTACTATTTCTATAGAATTATTCGTACCTATTATGTTTCATATCTTTCGTTGATTCTCATGCCGAATGCATGCGGCGGCGGTAGTAAAGGCGACATCGACGACGATGATGACGACGACGACAGAAGCAACAGCAATGGCACAAGCAATAATGGTGGTAATGATGGTATGATGGTGGCGATGGTGGAATATCTGCAAAGAAGGAGATACACACACAGAAATTGAGCAAATGAAAAATACATTTTGAATATTTTCCACATCAATCGTGCATTCTATGCCATTCGATTCGTTTTCGATTCGAGCAGAGTGGCGAAGGTACGACAAGCACACACAAGCCCACGGGGTAAGTATGTTTGACTCTCTATTGTATATTATGGTATGTTATTGCTGCTTGCGAACGATGTCGTATCACTCTATCTTGCTCTCACTCTTGTGTCTCTATTTGGGTATACAATATGGAATGTTGACACATTCAATTACATTTTGATTTGGCGTATTATGTTTTATGCTCCTTATCCATTTTTCCTTCAATTCATTTAAATAAATATCGACCGGATTTTTCCTTTATATTTGCGCAGCAGAGAGAGAGAAAGAGAATGAGTTTCAATATTACCGCCATCCCCATCGTCGTCGTTGTCTTCGTCAATATTTTTTGGATGCTGCTGAATGTGTCGAATGTTGAAATGAGAATTGTTGCGGGAATGGCAAGCGAGTGAATGAGCCAAACTAAAATTAAATGACTAAATAAAATTCATTTTTGTTTTCTTCACTCGCTCACTCGTTCGCTTGCTAGCTTAATCGCTTGAGAGTGTAAGAGCTCCAAATGGTAATATGTTACCAAATTGAACTGAACATTTCTATGTACGTATATATGTATTTGTAAATGATATAAATACAAAAAGACAGGAGACAATAATATTGATGACGGTGATCCAAATAAACCAACAACGGCATAATATCAACAACAAAAAATAAAACAGTAACAAATGAAAAAAAAACACCAGTACGACAACGACGACAACTAGAGACGTTTTACTGTTCTGAAGCGCCAAAGCCAACACAAACTGAGCGTACTCGATTGCCAAAGACATTGACTAACGCTATCTCACTCTTGGCTGCATGGCAGTGGCGGGCGGGCAGCAGACAACGGCGACGATGACGACGACGACGACAGTGGAGGAACGAGGGCACGAGGGGTTGAGAGACGACAACGATGACGACGATATTGTGTGTGCATCACGGCGCTACGGTTGTGCAAAGGCAACTTGGACGTTCTTCGTTCGCTCTTTTTAATGGTACATCATACACATTTTGTACGGTAAAAGACTTGCGCTAAACTATCAAATTGTTTTTAGTCACTGACTAGAGACGCTCTCTGCTCATTCATTTATGCCGCACAAACGGCCAAGGAATTCTTATGTAAATCCCTTGTACTATATCTCCCATTCTCTCTCTCTTTCACATTGTTCTCTCTCACTCTATCGCTCTTCCTTACTCACTCTCTCTTTCACTTGTTCTATAGGTATATATACAATAACACGTTATTAAATATAGCCATAGCCACAGAGCCGTACCATTATGTTTTAGAATCATATTTTTCGATATGAGTAATTTTAAAATGTATATAGTATTGACTTTACAGCAAAGTGATGTAGGACATTTTCTTATTCTTCGTCGTTCGTCGAACGTAAGGCGAACAATATCGAGATTTAATTAATTAACGTCTTGTCGTTCGTTATTACAACACCAAAACGAGACTTCTCTCTTTTTTGCCTTTTTGCTCTGTTTGGTCGACATAATCTAATCTCTGCCAATGGCCACTGGCGATTACAATTTCGTTTGTTGATTTTTTTTTATTTCGTTTGTTCAATTTTATTTAAAATATAATTTGGTTTTTTTTTTTGTTCATCGCATATCTGAGAGAGAGATTTATCTATAGTGCGTGTGTTTGTGTGTGTGTGTCTCTGTTTTTGTGCGTTTATTCGCATAAATTATTCAAAGAAAATGGTTTTAATGGTCATCACAGAAGAAGAAGAAGAAGAAGGAGCATAAAAGAAGTAAAACATACAATTCAAATTAATATATAATTCATAATTAATTTTATAACTAAACAGCCTTTGAGTATATCGATTTCTGGCAACTAAGTGAATAAACGAAACTATAAATCGCAGTTCACTATTTTACAATTTAATTTTGTTTTCATTTAACAATAAAGAATTAAAAAAAAGTCAAAGCATTCGATTTATAAAAAATACCATACTTATAAATACCGTGCAAAAAAAACACCATCGAAACGCGAAAATAAAAAAATATTTGATATTTACATTGTGTGTCCATCGCAAAGGAAACAACTAAAATAACATATATTGTCGTAGATTCAGTGTTGGCACATCACATAATTTCCAATTTTCCAATTCTACCTGTGCATTATGTCTATGATACACAGATGCGATAGAATCGAATATATAACGACACAAACACGTCTAAGATGTGTGTTTAATGTGCATTCGTTGCTACCGTTCGCATATATCAATACAGTAAAACTTGAAACATAAACGATAAGCTTCAGCGTCAGTTGGCAAGCTTTCCTCATTTACTTCGATACGAGAATATTTACCTGACTAACCGATTTTTCTGCTCTCCACACACGCTTGTGGAAGCGCCATTAAAGAAGCGTGCACGATTAGATTGAAAGAGAACTGTGGTAATATTTTCAATAGCGAGATATATATATAACAAAAAAGAGATTGACCAAAACAGAAATTATGTTGTCGCGGTCGATGAATGCAACAAGTCGCTTGAAGAAGCGCGAACGCACTCAGAATTGGGCATTCGAAGAGAAGCGATATCTCTTGGAATTGTGCAAACGTGATATGAACATCATTGAAAATAAACGTTTGGATGCCGATCTGACGGCATTAAAGAATCGCGCATGGAAATCGGTTCACGAAGAATTTTGCAAGGTTTTTGGCAATGAACGAAACTGTAATCGGCTCAAGGAACAATGGAGACGGATGAAAGGTAAAGTGAACATTTTTTTTTTTTTTTTTTTTTTTTTTGGTAAAAATCAATTCGAAATCTAATTTTAGTTTGAGTTCCAAAGAAAAAAATATCGAATTTAAAATTGATGTGTTTGATTCTCTTTTGAAGCTTGTACACGATCTGAAATTCTTGACTATACAAACCGAGTGTCAAAGTATGGACAGGAAGTAGCCGATAAAAAACGACCGAATGCATTTACATTTGAAATTTGGGATTTTATGCAAAATGCCAAACGCAATTCATGCAAAAATGATCCAGTACAAACGATCGATGGATCCACCACAAATCAAATGTCCACCGATGACAATGTGTCACAAGTCAATGTCAATGGTACCGAAACTCACGAAACTCAGGTGCTATCCGACGACGACGATGACGAACTATTCAATTGGTATGAACATTTCAAATTTTCAGTCATTTATATTTCAACACGTCAGTTTCCTTTCATTTTTTTTTTGCATTCAGGCAAAAGACCACACAAAATTTATGCGAAGTGGAAATAAAAGATGAATCGTCATCGACGAATGTTGGCGGCAGCGGCGGCGCCATCAATTTTGAAACACAGGGTACCAATGATAATAATGCGGATAGACCATCAACAAAAAAGCTTAAACCAAATAAAACCAGTGTCAGCGATGATTCATTTTCACCATTTACAAATCCAATAACAACATCGTTCGATGTATTAAACTTTCTGCGAAACAGTTCATTCAGCACAAATAATTCAATTGGCAATAAGTATACCGATGAAATTCAATTGATTATCGAAATGCAGGCCAAAGAGCATGCACTGCGAATGGACATTTTACGTGCTCAATTGGAAACGGCCAAACTAAATCGTGACATTGCTGAAATTAATAAAATTATACTGTTACGAAATTTACAGAATGCACATGAATAGAATCTATTCGATAGTAAGATGTTAAGATATAGCATAGTAAAACAACCAAACCACATGTATAAAGTTCTAAGTTCAAATATATTATTGACAGAGTAAGTGAAAAGAGAAGGAGAGAGAAAAAAAAGTTAACCAAAAATAAACACGAAATTGCGTCTCTTATTTTTTTTTTCTTTTATATATGATACATATTTATTTACTGTTCAACGGAATTTATAATTCATTTGAACGTAGTGAATGCTAATCAACGAAAAAAAAATGTTTATGGTGGCTTTCAGCCACAAAATCGAACATCAGCCAAAAAATAGATTTGTTTGCAGTGGAAAATTCTAAATGGATCTATTTTTTAATGCTGGCAAGAGCTTCCTTGTGACGTTGCAATGCTTGTTCATGTTCTTCGATTTGCTTTTGATGGAAATCAGCTTGAGAGATTTGGTCGGCCTTCAATTTTTTAAGTTGTTCTTGTTGCTACAAGTGACAAACACACATCTTATTAATTTATTTGAATCATATAGTTATCAAATTCGAATTACGACCTACCTTCTTGTAGAAATATTCTGCTTCACGAGCAACTTCCATTTTACCGAAAGCACCGCCAGCCTCACGAATAGCTATGGAAAAATTGTATTCAATTGGATTAATACAAATTTTATTATCATAACAACATCAGCAACAACAACAACAAAAAATTATCAACTATCTACCTCCGGCTTTTCCATCGCCAGCTGGACCTGACATTGCACGTACACTGTAACACAGATAGATAGAAAAAAATAATTTTACTTTTGAAATTTACAACATTTTTCCATTCAATTGCAAAAAGTAATGAAAATTTGCTACATTTGAAGTAAATATTTTGATAAAAATATAATTTTTTGACAATTACGTAATAAATCGGTTCTAGATAATCAACAACGAAATACGTTCGACCAGAAAAATTAAAAATAAACATTCGTGACATACCCGGCGGTACATCGAATTTCATGATTTTCAATTGATATTTCAAATAATATGATTAAATTATTTGTTTACAGCATAAACTTACCCAAGAAGACGTGGTACAATTAATTTTGATGATCTCAAAGCCATTGACATTCTTTCGAGCGAAATTTTTTTACAATGAATTATTGAAATTGCGGTAGATAGATCTGGAGTTGTGTCTATAAGCACCTTCTATTGAAATATGAAATTTTTGCGACGAACATTGGAGTTTTGACACTTCAGTTAGTATGTCTGGATAATGAATATAGGTAGATGGCACCACCATTTATGCTGTTCAAATTATTCATTAAAAAAAATATCAAATGTCGTTATTTCATTCGTTTTTCAACTTATTTATTTCAATCTTTATTAAATCTAATGAAAACATGTTTATTTTCTTATTTTATGCTGATGACAATGGATATTTATATTACTTCATGCAAACATATTTTTACTCAAGTTGCATGACCAATTGGTCTATAATTTAAGGTTTTAATTTTGTCTCATTTGCAGACAATATATTGAGATATTTTCAGCCAGATGAATCAGCTCAGCTAGATGAATGGCTGAAAATATCTCATTTGTTTCTCTTTTGATTTTTTCCGCTCAATCATCTATTATTTTCTCACTTTTTTCCTCGAAGAATTTTTGCACTATTATTTTCAAATTACGATCGTTTTTGGTCTGGTGAAAAAGATCAACACAAATAATTTTCCAACTACAAACCAAACCAAACGCAAATGCGTTTTAATTTTTTCTGTATGACTGGGAAATATTTGATAGAATTTCATAGTTTTTTTTTCCATAATTTCATGATAAATACAAAAATGTTTTTTCAAGTCTTTTATCGAATTTCAACATCATTAACTATATTTTGAATCATATTTTGGAAATCGTTTAATTTCTCTTTCAAATAGTTGGCTTCGGCTATCAAATCAACTTTTTCTTTTTCGATTGATTCGACTCTTTTTGAATCGATGGTAATGTTCGCCAAAATAATTTCTTTGAATTCCTCTTCCAATTTATCAACTCGTCCGTTCAAGTTTCCAACTTCGACTTGCATTCGATTTAATTTACTTTTAGTTGCTGTATACAAGGTGTTGTCTTTCACATTATCCATTTTAGCGGCCATTTGGTAATTATTTCTGAGAATAAAAAATATAATATTTCATGAGAACATTCGTTGTTATTTTAAATGAATAGAAATGAAGAATATAAATGTATTTTTGATTTAACCAGCTTACCGTGATTTATTTTCAATTTAATATGATTATTTTTTCAAACGTGTTTTAATTATGTTGGTTTTAAATATATTTCGACAATGATTCTCTTCAATAATAATTTTTGATGAAATACTTGCAAATTAAAGGCTTTTTGCTTTTTTTCCCTTCTGAAGTGAATTATTCTATTTATTTAACACACTTTGTTTGGTCTTTGATAAAGTTTATTATATTTTGATGCTGCTGATATGGTCTCTTTCATTCAGTTTTTAAAATACGAATGCCGGCAATAATTATCGATCACAATGAAATATTTTCAAATATTATGCTATCGAGTATGCTGAGAGTCTACATTGTGATAATGACAAATCTACATTTAGCATAGCCAGATGGCGCCACAGATTTCATTGCAATTTAAACGCGTTAATTTTATGTTTCCATTTTCAAACAAAATCTTTTGACTGCTTTTACTTATCCAATCATTTCTAAAAGAAATAAACGAAAGTCATTTTTATTATTATTATTATTATCAAATGTATTGCGAAAAAAAAACGAGTTCGATCCGGTTTTGTGGATAAAATCACTGTGGCGCCTTCAAATGCGACTTTGACATTTTCGATGTCAATAAATACAGGTGTTTTGTTTATATAGCTTTCTGAATCACATTCAAATGTAAAACAGTCCCAAAATTTTTTTGGCTACCACAAATGTGATGAAAATTCTCAAAACTATTGAATTATAAAAAGATTTTCTTATTATTTATCCATGATGGCTTGTTCGTTGTGCTACGAAACAAAAGGAAGAATGTTTGATTTCGATGGCGATAAAGCAATGCAATTGCAAATCGTCCAAATTCTCTTCAAATATTTTCCATTTTGTTTTAATAACGTAAGTATATTGAATGTTATACATTCCAATTTCTTGTAAAATCATATTTATATCGAAAATTGTTTGATTTTGTGAACAGGAGGAGCAAAAAAATGGTTGTATTTGTCGAAAATGTTGGTACAGAGTGGATGCATTTCATCAGTTCTACACACGTATTGAAGAAGTTCAGAAAAATTACAATCGACACGAAATTATCGAAGAGAGCAAATGTGATACAACGTTGGAAGATACAAAAGAATTAATAATTGCCGAAGATCCTGAATTTATTGCGAACAATGATAACCAAGATGATAACAATGTGACTGAAGAATTTGACAGTATTTCATTTAATGATGGATTTTTTGATGCCAACGGTATAGATTAAAAAAAAAATGATTTAATGCTTTCATCCCAAAATATGTACTCAAACTCTTGATAATTACAGATGATGATGACGATGATGATGATAACAACGAATTAAATATGCCCGAAATTAAAGAAGAAATTGATAAACCAACGAAAACAAACAATGCACCGCGAACCGCGAAAAAGAAGCAGAAGAACAAACAAAAACCAATTAAGTGCAAACCAAAGTAAGAGGCCAATGAATTTTTACCCGGCAATATATTCTCTATTATTATTTTTTTAAACTGAAATATCTCTTTCCATGTCTAGGTGTGAACATTGCGAACAAACATTTATGAGTGGCCGTAAATTGCGAAAGCATCTGATCGAACAGCATTCAGAATTTCAACTGCGATGCCATCATTCTGATTGTGAAGAGACATTTACAACGGCCGAAGAGCTCGAAAAGCACAAGGAAAGACATGTGAAAGTTCCTTGTCCACGATGCGGCCGAATGATTCAAGCCAATAATTTGAAAAAACATATCCGGCACACCCATGAAATCGATCAGCGTGTTGTTTGCGATTTATGCGGACGAGTATCGAGCACAATTGTTATGCACAAATACCATGTTCGATCTGATCACGAAGTGCACGAACGGCTACAGTGTGACATTTGCAAAGAATGGTATAAGAACAAAGAAAATCTACGATCACACATGAGAAGCATTCACGTTGAAGGTAAATTTGAAATGGATTCAAATTGAAACAAAGAAATTCACTGGCGTTTATGATCTAACATTGATTTGAACATTTTAAAGGACCCCAAAAGTGTACAATTTGTGGACGAATTTCAACAAACATGAAGGCTCTCTCAAAACATAAGAAAATCCATTTAGAAGGATCAAAAGAACGATTCAAATGTATTGTTTGTGGAAAAGGATTCCGCGATCGAACAAAACTCAAGGTAGCGACAAAAAGAATTGAAAACACATCAATATTATAACAATTTATTTATTAACATTTGAAAATGGCATATTGATTTGTGGTTTTTGATTCACACAGGAACATTCGTATATTCACACAGGAGTCACCGACGCCTACGTTTGTCAAGTAAGTAAACATTTTTTTTCGGCATTTTTACTCTGGCTTATGCTTCGTATCACGAAAAAGATGCATTTACAACAATTTACATTGATAACAATATCTTTTATTTATAGTTTTGCGGTAAAGCATTCCGGTTTGTATAATAGTATAATAGTATTTCCTTTTATTTGTACACACAAGAGATAAACCCCACAAATTATTTTAGGATTCCTATTAAAAAATGAATTTGTTAGGTTTCCTTATAAAATCGCAATATTTTAACAGGAATCCTGATAAATTGGCGCGCTTAAACGTCAAAGCCAACTTCACTGTGTTGAAACAAAACATGTTTTATTATTTAAAGGTTTCCTAATAAAATGTTGCCATATTATAAGGAAACCTTACAAATTAATATTTTAATAGGAATCCTAAAATGATTTGTCAGGTTTATTTTTTGTGTGTATAATAATATTTCATTTTATTTATAGTTTTGGTTCCAGTATGTATGCACATCGAAAAAAAGCCCATCCCGTTGAAATGAATGCGCTAAAAGTTAATTGAATTAATTTTTTTTTACACACATTTTTATTAAATATTTGTTATGGGCTTTTTGAAAAAACCATACCAAATAGGTATACTAAGTTTAAAGTTTTATCTTAATTTTCATAATGTTAAAAGTATGTGAATCGAAATAAAAAAAATATACATCTCCACCCATAAATCTGCTCGATCGATTTTATTCCTCGATATGATCGGGGTGACAGCTAAATCATCCCCCTGCACATCAATGTCATATTGTACTACTAAACTTACACCGAAACCGTAGCACTTTTTACAAATATGAATATGTTCCCAAGGTAAATTACATGTATTATCAAATACTTGGAAAAATAAAAAAATGATCTTGATAAATGCATTTCAGTGTCATTTTCTAAGAATTTTTCTAAAAGCATTCAAACCATATTGAGATCATATAAAAATGGTAAGCTCTCGTTTTATCTTGTAAATTAACTGGCATTGTATATTATATTTTCATATTTGAAAAGAGATTTAGATTGCAAGATCGATTCATTGTATTGAAAAATGAAGCAATGAGTGATAAATTCTGTTTAAGCGATGACGGAAATAGTCCCGAAATCATCATATACTGAGGAAATTTGAATGAATAAATACGAGACATAAAATACAATTCATCTGAGAATATACGAAAACCGAATATGAGATTGAGATAGTTTTGTTTTTGTGTGTATGTTTACATTGTTGGTCTTGGTGATAATTTTCATTTCAAGAGCCATAAATTATTGTCATAAAAATGCTTTTTACATCTCGGCACTTGTGTTGTGTTGTAGATCAATTTTGATCATTTTTCATTGCAGCGCTAATTTTATCAGCATTCTACAAATAAGTACACATAATTGTTCAAGATATCCATAAACGTATTAAACAATTGCCCATAAATTGTTGCAATTTCATTTTATTCTTTGGCAGAACTTTTCATATTCGAACAAAATTGAAACAAACAACAAATGCAATAGGGAGAATGATGATCAAAATATATTTTAAATTGAAAATAAAATGCGTTCTAAACACATTTTGTTTTCTGCGAAAATGAATACAATCACTTACTTCCTCTATTACATTTTGTGTACATAAAAGTACGGAAAAATAAGAAGAAAGCGAGTGCGAAAGAGATCATGGAGCACACAAGAACGCAATACGATATTGTGGCCAATTCACAATGGTGAACGTTTTCACGCAAAAATCTCGTGTAAATTTCAATGAAATTCCAAAATTTCAAATTAAAATCCGGTTAAAATTGCATTTCATATGATTTTCATTGGTTTTATAAAGGATCAAAAACTCTCATCCATCTGAAATCGAAAAGAAAGTATTTAATTTCGGATGTGTGTGTGTGTGTGTATCTGTGCGGGTAGATTGATTTATTGTGAACGATATTCAGCAAATGTTGTTGTATGTATTTTGTGACACAACATAAAAGCGATCGCTTCATCTCTGTTTATCGTGCGGTGACGCATTTGCTGAATTTGGTATATATGTCGCGTGTATATGCTCGTTTGCTATATGTCTGTATCTCTCTGTTTATCGTGCATGCTTTACCGTCAATGCATACACGAACACACACATGCACACAATCCGAATAGGGCGAACGAGAGAGCGAGAAAGTGAGCGAAATGCTTCGTATGATGTAGTGTATGTACCTTTCGTTTCGATCGTTGCGTTGATGCTCTCATTGCTATTTAGGAAGCTGAACAAGAAAGACACCATCCATCCTACAATAACAAAACAACAACAACAACTAAACAGTTTTCTTTTGCAAAAAGCAAGTAGCACAAAAACAACAACAACAACAAACCCTAGCGAAAACAGTCAAAAACCAATTTCGTTCGTTTGTCAAAACAAAGTAAAGCAATCAAAAGTTATTTCAAACTAAAACAAAAAAAAAGAACACCGGAAAAATAAAACAAGAAGCATAATTGTGAAATCCTCTAGAAATTAAGTGTGGAAAAGTCCAGTTTGATTCGAGCAGCCGAATTTCAGTGATATTTTTAAATGAAGTCTGTGCTGATTACGGTAAGTTTCAATTTTTTTTATTTATTATTTTTGTTACCAAATAAAAGGTAATACATTTCATGTGAAACTAAATTCTATGTAGATCATTACCCTATCAAACAAAACGTTCTTAATTTTGGTTTTTAAATCTCTATTTTTTGGCAAATGTTTGCATTTCTTTGAATGCGATTTCGTTTTGGATCGGTACGGTTCAGCGATGTTTAATTTGATTCGCGGCCGCATATTTGCGGCTCGATTCAGTTTTCTTTTTACCCGTGTGTTATGAAAACTTTTCAACGAACGACAAATAATTCGAGAATAAGAAAAAAAATTATTTAACAACAAATATCAATCTAGAATTTCTACGAACGCGTTTTTTATCGCGTACTATATCATAAAAGATTTGTATGAAATTTGTTGTACATTTTTTTTCTCTCTCTATTTCGGTTTGGTATTTTCTATGCAAATCATAGGCATGGAATTAAATAGAAATAAAAAAAAAATTCAGAAAATTCTTTTTATCGACTAAAATATAATTTGTAGAAATAAATGACATTCAATTGAAACGAAAAAAGTGATAATGATCTTGTACAGAGATTTAATGATGGAAAATGTTGCGATATCAATTGCAATTTTCCAAACATCAAACGTGTACGAACGATGAAGAAGAAGGAAAAAATTTCCATGGCGTTCATATCCGCCATTTTGGATTTGGTTTTTTCTTCTTTTCTGTGTTCTATACTGCTGGTGGGTTTGTGTATGTGTGCGAACGAGTGTGCTTGTTGAAACGTTTCTATTCAATACACACGCGCACACATACACACATACACACTCACATGCGGACAAGCATCGCATCTGAAGAGAGTAGCGTTCAATATAAAACGCTCTCTTTTCGATGTTTGTGTGCGTTGCGGCCTATACATGTGTTGGTGATAATTTATCGGCACAATTGTATGGGTTCGTAAATGTTGTTATGTTGAATTTGCCGTAAGTAGCAAACACATGTACAATTTCAATAACCAACAACATCATCAATTCAGAAACATCTTCGTCAATCTATCCGAAATTCAGGGGCTGCTTTGAATTTCTCTCTCTCCCTCTCTCTCGTGTTTATTTGCTTTTGATTAATTGTGTTGTTTTTATATAGAGAATAACAGAAATTTACAAACAAAATGATGATCAAATTGTAATCATTCACGACCAGAAATGAAATGTTACCGCTTTTTCGCATCACATTTGGTGTCTGTCTGTCGATGTGTAATTCGAATGTAATACAAGCAATAATGATGACGACGACGACGCACATCATATACATAAAAATAAACATGGAAAATCCGCCTATGATCATGATATGTATATTTCACTTGCACACTTGAACGCGACGGTGGTGATGATGACGACGACGAAAAAGCACACATTTGCTCATTCGCTTTACCACCACTTTGGCAATACACACGATGGTTGTGCACGCGCGATACGATAGATACTCACTTTGGCAATAAGAATAAAAAACATCGAGAATGTTTTATGTCGTTCGCGTCAGCGGCAACGACTACCGCATCAATGTATATCTCTACCACCAAGAAGGAGTTCGCTGTTGGATTTTTTTTTTATTTCATGTTTTATTCTTTTTCTTTTAATGATTCTTCTACCTCTTCTTCTTTTTATTATTTTTGTATATATTTTTTTTTCTCCATTTTCACATTTTTCTCTGTTCCCGCGCGCGACGCGCACGCCTGCTGTTCGCACAATTCGGTGTTTGAATGTATGTCTGTCGCTCACATGGAATGCTTCTTTAGTTTTTTGTTTCTCCATTTAATTCGATTGCTGTATTTTGATATTTATGTGGATCTGATCGTGGTTTGTCATTTGCGTGTGAGCGCTTCTTTTTTTTCCTCTCCATTTTGATTTGGCGAATGGGTATGCGAATAGATATTTTATAAATCGAAATTATCACGAGAATATCATTTGGTCTACCTATTTTTTTACTCGCTCTCGTTCTATGTGTCACTCACAATTCTTTTTGCTTGACTATTGTTGTATATTGAGTCTGGGTCGCTGTGAATACAGTGCATGTTAATTTGATGACAATGGCATGATGATGATGAAAATGTAAGTGTCTAAAGCGGTTTTTTTTTTATCTAATTTATCTGTATGTGTACAATAACATGTATGTGCATGAATTCGTTTATATTACTAAATGCGCACAACGAACATACAACGAATGGGAAAGTCATAATATGAAGACCTCAAATTAAATCATATAATCAACATTATTTCAATGATAAATTCTCGGTCATGTTCGTATTCTATTTGCGTGTAGATTTGATTCTTTCCAGCGAACAAATTGAATATGAGGAAAAAACGGTCACCGAGAAGCAAAGCAAAGCAACAACAATCAAGACGACGAACGATAATAAAAGCAAATCGTCTGTTGAAGGGAAAAACCAATATTATGCTGATCACTTTGATCGCATCACATACAAAATTAAATAGAAATCTGTGTGTTCGTTCATTGTATTCCATATATATATATGTATAGTTCTATGGTTTGAAATGCGTGTTATGCGTATAACGTTGTCAATCGAGTGCGTTCATGCGCGCGATACTCTTTGACATTTTGTCGTTTCCAAAATATTCCGTTGGTGTTGGTGTGTGACTTTCAGATTTTTCTCATTTTCGGCTCCATGTTTACTTTAGCCAAAATGGAATGGAATAAGCTCTAATGTATTGCAGATACATAACACGTCATTTCGCTTTAATGTGGAAGCTGAGCAATAAACAGATTAAGCACACACTAATTTTTCTGTGTATGCTTTCTTCTCTTTGTTTTCATTTTTTTTTCGTCGTTCATTTCCTTCGTATGCCTTCGTATGATCTACATACGCAATTTCACTAAATCGCATTCCAATCGAATTGACGATCATTGAATTCATCGTTCTCACTTCGGCAAATTCATTTATTATCACATTATGATCATTTGAAATCCAACAAAATGTTTTCCTTGCATATCGTTTTCATCATTTATTCTGCCGGCAGCACGGTTACTGCTATCGGTGGTGGTGCGATCGATCGTCGGCCAAAACCTGCTGCTTCACATTTTCATTTATGTCCAATTCGAAATCAAACACACACACACCCAGCACAGTGTCCGTCAAGAGAGAAGAAAAAAAAAAACACCCGAAAGCTAAAAAAAACGTGAAATGTGTGTATTCGTAAAACAAATAACACAATCAATGACAAATAATAATTCGAATGTGGGTAAATATAATATAATGCGAACGCTGTCTGTAGTATGTTAATTACGAAAAATTTCAGTATGCCAGATCAGACCAAACAAGAAATACTAATGACGTCCATTCCATACATACTTGCTCTCTTTGTTCAATTATATTATGAGTTATGTTCCAAAGCTATGTTTGGCACACTGCTGCTACTTTTTTATTTCGAGTATCAACTGCGTCGCTGTGGTATTGAATTTTAATTTGACTTGTTATGCCTTTACTCCAATACCATCTCTCTATCGTGCCGAAAAACACACGATGTATGTAACGTGTCTTTTTTCCTCGTTCACTTCAACAACGAATTATTGTCACAGAGTTTGTGTTTTTTTTTCATCGTCTTCTTCTCGTTGTGCGTTGTATTCGTTGGCTCTTCGTTTGGTCAAAAATCAGCGCGTCAAATTGTAATGTATGGCGCGTACATAAAACAAGGTGACAATTGAACGACCGATCGTCGGTGGCGATGACTACAAACAGACAACAACAAAAAAAAAACACACACACACAATAAATGTGGACGGTGTCTCATAAAAATACCAGATAAATGTATGGACTCTTTGTACTTGGCATTTTAAATGTACACAAAGCGCATTTTCCATTTCATTTCATGAGCTTCGACAAATTAAGCAAAGAGCAAAAATAATAATAATGAAAAGACGTTCAAACGTATTGAATATGCGCGCATATTAAAATCTATTTAACTTCTTGCTTAAAGCGCGCGTGTAACTTCATTGAAAAAACTATTCACGCAGCAAGCGTTTCCCAGTACTCGCTCTTTTTCTCATTCTCAATATCATACAACACACACACACACACACACACACACTGAGCATATTTGTATTTCCCTCATGGCGTAAATTGCGTATTCAAATATTCGCTCCAATGACAAATTCGCCATTTTCCAATCGATTGGTGTGCTTTTAGTGGCAATTCCATGTTGGTCACCTTTTTTTCTCTCATCAAAACTCGAAAGTGGACAGTATGAGTGGGATTTTCTCATTGTCAGACGACAAATTACGATTTTGCCATTTCGATCGTCGCGCATTGATCACCATTGGTGCCGCTGTCGTTGCCATTTCTGTTGTAACTTTTCTGAAGTCACAAAATTTACATTACATATAGTCAGAAAGAGAGAGAAAGAGAGTGAGCGAGAACATACATGGGCTTAATCGTTGGTCGATACGCGATGACAATGCATGTATTGTATGTGTTTAAATTGTAATTAGAATATTTTGAAAAACTGGTTCCGCATAGAGTGTATATCGCCGTTCGATTGCTTGTTTAAAATTCAATAAAAAAAAGAGCGAACGAGCGCCTGGCGATTGAGCGAGAAAAAAGCACAAAATAATAAATGCGAGAAAAAAACCTCAACTCATGAAAAATATATGATAAACAAAATGAACGATCTGGAAATATCGTTTGCGGAGAACAACTAGCAGCCACATAAATGCTGCTGTTGTTGTTAAAACACTCGATCGATTGTGTGTTGGCCGGGCTTCGTCTATGTGTTCGTAAATGCACACAAAGGGTTCGTGTTCTTTCACCATTGTTGCCCCAAATACAAACGAGCAAGCGCGCGCGCACCAATAGCATTATGTTACATGTATTGTATGTTTGCTTGCGCAAAGAAACTTTCCACAAAAATTCAACATTATATATACGTGTTCGTTCATCGCCAATAAGAATGAAAATGCAACAACAACAAAAAAAAAAGAAGCGGCGAGAGAAAGAGAAAGAAAA